CATAATAACGGTCTTATTCTAATTATTATTTTATTTATCATTATTATTTTTTATTATAATTATTATCATTACTTTCATAATAACGATCTGATTCTAATTATTATTTTATTTATCATTATTATTTTTTATTATAATTATTATCATTACTTTCATAATAACGATGGGTAATATTTTGTCAAATAAATTGGCATTTAAGGGATTTTAGCATTTACTTGTTGCTTTCAAAGTTCCCGTTTTCGTTCCATTTTTCCCTTCTCTGAAAATATCTTTTAAGAAAATTTTATTAGTTTGAAAATCTAGGCTTCTGATCCAAGAGGAGATGTTCTTCTAGCATACGAGATGAATGGGGAACCAATCACTAGGGATCATGGGTAGGTTTAGAGTAAGGATCATAGATAGTCTTAGAGTAGGATCATGGGTAAACTTAGACTATGGATCATGTGTGGGTTTAAAGTAGGGATCATGTGTTGGTTTAGAGTAGGGATTATTTGTAGGTTTGGAGAAATGATTTTAATAGGTTTGGAATGGCTATCATGGTTTAGTTGAGATCATGGTCATTGGTTTAGAGTAGGGATCATGGTTTAGAGTAGTGATTGTAAAACCTATGTGGATCAGCTAAAAGTCTCCTCTGCCACCATTGAAGATAAATGGTTGGATCTACAGAACTTGACCCCCCCCCCCTTCCCAGCAGGAAACGGATTGTGTACACTGAACAGTTGGAGCCTGTTTTACCTCCAAATGTACACAATAGATCAATATAAACCCAAAACAACACCAAACTTTCGCAATAGAAAAATTTAGAGATTTAATCGTAACAACCCGATCATGTCCTGGGGACAAAAAAATCTCTTTCAAAAAAAGAGATACCAAAAAAATTTTGGGTTTTATTTAAGAAACTTCCTAAATTAATAAAGAAATGTTGCTTTAGAGAAAATTAAAAGCTTTCTCTAAAATAATGAATTAATGTTCCAGGTTCCCAGTACGAGCAATTGTTCCAGGTGTGGCCGGAGCTAGGAATGTAAAATGGCTCTGTGAGTATTTTTTTTTATCCGAACTTCAACTACAGTCCCGCCACATGTGCAGGATGGGGTTAAAAAAGAAAAAAACATGGAAAAAAATTTTTTTACTGAAAATGGTCAACTTAAAGTAAAACAGATATTTTTTAGTTTGGAAACAACAGCTACTTTGTTTACAGTATTGGGGTCTGAACCAGCATCAAACCCAAATTTTGAAAATAATCAAAGTTTTCCCACTAAAAGTGTAGAATCATTATTTTCAAATTTCAGCCCGTGTGGTGTTGAGCAAGGAGGAGAGTGACTCCCATTGGCAGCAAGATGATTACAAAGGTTAAAATCATATTTTTTTAATTCAAACTCTAAAAAGGTTTACCTTCGTAAAAAAATTTAATATAAAATGTTGTTTTTCTTTGCTTTCGCTTATTTTTTCTGTTAGAATGAAATTTTTCAAAGTACAAAAAAACATAATATGAAGTTTTTTAAGAAGTAAAAAAATTAAATATTAGATTAGCTTTCGTTCAAAGAGTGCAATGCAACCGTACCCTTTAAACCTTTGATTGTTTATGAATACAGAGATATTTGTGTTTAAATCTATCGAAAACCGTTAGGTTTCCTGTAAAATCCGGTTTTCGCTGCATTAAGAATGAACTCAACACAGCTGATGCGTTACTTATGTCCCTACACATTACCGAATATTTTATAAACTATAAAGTTATTTGAAAAATAAGATTTCACACCCAATAAAATATTTGAACAGTGCACTGTTACGCTTTTTTAAAATTCATAAAATAACAAAAAATTTGAATTTGTGAAAAATTCCAAATCTAATTTATCGACTGAACAGCTGGCTTTCATAGAAAAATAAATGAGTTGATCAGATGAGAGACCAATTTTAGCTGTGTCTGTGTATTTTGTTACCTAATCCCTTATATGAAGCCACCACTTAGAATTATGTTGACAACCCCTCCAAGGTACATTATTCAGGATTCAATCCTTCCACCGACTGGGATACTGTTGATTACAAGAAATCTGAAGCTATTCAGGTTAAAAATTATATTTAAAATTTCTGATGAAATTCAATTTTTAATTGGTTTAATTTCTGAAAACACATATGCCTGTGATATGGTTTAATCTGTATATTTACTTGTCTAGGATATGCCTGTAACGAGTGCAATATGTTCTCCTAGTCCTGGATCTCAGGTTTTACCTGGAGAACTAGAGGTTAAAGGATACGCCTGGTCAGGAGGTGGCAGGTAGAACATAGTTAGCTTAGGGTCACCCTTAATGGGGGGGGGGGAATTTCGGTTTAAAAATGTCAAATATTCAAGTTTTATTGATTTAATAAAGATTTTAAACTATCGATATTACCCTAACAGATGCCAATTTAAACTTGAGAGGAAATTCATATTGAGGTATTTCCCTATTTAAGGTAACTCCGTACTGAAGGTATCTTCTCTTTATATTGAGTCTCTCCGTAAAACCTCTCTTTAAAATAACTCTTTCCTTAAGTTAACTTCGTCCACAGTTAACTCCCATACAAATTTAAACTCCTTCTTTAAGTTAAATCCCTCCTTAGGTTATCTACCTCTTAAAATTAACTCCCTTCTGAAATAAAGTCTGTCCTTTGGTTAACTCCCTTAATTAACTCCTTTCTTGGGTTAATTACTCCTTAGGTTATTAACCTCTATAAATGAACTCCCAGCTTAAGCCAAGTCTTTTCTTAAGTTAATTCTCTCCTTAAGTTGAATCCCCATTTAAGCTAAGTCCTTTTTGAAGTTTTGCGTAATGGACCTTTTTTGAGTTAAATCTTTTAAATTGCTTATCGCAATTTTTATCTGATAAATTTTTTATATAAAAAATGTCTTTAATGCATATTTGAAATTTAAGCTTTGTCATTAAATTTTAGCTTTAATTGTTAATGTTAAGGCGGATTATAAGAGTTGATTTGACTGCTGATGGGGGGAAAACATGGACTCAGGTAACAAATGAAATTTTAAACTTACAAAGACATTAGAAAATAAAATCAAAGGGACTGTAGTCCAAATTTCCAGCAAAACTCGGTATGTTCTATTCACAAACGGTATCCTGAATAGCTATGTATGATCCAGAATGAAGGAGATATCCAAGTGTAACTATTTTAAAATTCATTATTTTTAATTGGAGGAAATTATCAAAATCAAAACTTATCAAGCTAGAAAAAAAGATCTGAAGAAAGATCAGACAAAATGTCCTATGTCTTATTCGTGTTGATAGTCTTAAGGCTCGTCAAAAAAAATTCTGTGGCCGTACACTTTTCGGAATTTACAAAATATTATTTTCTAGGCTAGTAGCTTGGAGCAGGATACAGCGAGACACTCCAGGCATTGGGGCTGGACCATCTGGAAGGTAATTATTAATTATTTATTTTCCTGGTTGAGGCGGGAAATTTTGAGATTAAAGGGACTGTAAGCGTAATTTCAAGTGACTCTCCATGCAAAAAGGGCAATGTCTGATTTACAACGGTACCCTTGAAACCTTTTACTGCTCTTCGAGTAAAATAACCTTTCTGTTCAAGCATATCGAAACCCGCTTGAATTTCTCTTAAACGCGACTGTACGCTGTGTACGCTGTGTACGCTGTGTACGCTGTGTACGCTGTGTACGCTGTGTACGCTGTGTACGCTGTGTACAGTCTAGACTCAAACAGCTGATATGTTACTTGCAAACAAAGTGTTTAGCAATTAAAAGTATTTCAGTAGATTAATAGGGATATATCCGACATCCTTGATCCGTCAAAGGTTTTAAGGGTATGGTTTTGAATCTGGATTCTCATCTTTTAAATGAAAGGTCACTTGAAATTACGCTTACAGTCCCTTTAAGTCGGGATTTTTAATGATTAAACGACAACCGACTTTTTAAATTATTTTGGGAGTCAAGTTTGGAGCACGGTAGAAAGATATCTCTAAAAGTCTGTTTTGATTTGATATGACCTACCAAGATATATTTAAAAAGTCCTACTTATAATGGCTCAAAACTTCAGCCTTACCCATAAGACACAATAATATACAGAATACATATTTAGGACATAGGAAAATAATTCAATGTTCTGCTTTTAGCACTGTACATAAACGGTTTATTAGAAATTTCTGTCCGAACGATAAAGTTGTCAGGCGGGAAATTGAAAATAGGGAAGATATTAGATTTTATTGTAAAAAAATGTTTTTAATTTTTGTTTAGGGTGTTGTGAAGGTCCCGGAGGGTTGTCCTAATGTTGAAGTGTGGAGTAAAGCTGTTGACAGTAGTTACAATGTCCAGCCGGAGACATTTGAGAATATTTGGAACCTTAGGGGAGTTCTTAGTAATGCATACTGTAGGCTCAAGCTGAAAGTAAACCTCTAAACCTTAGAGGAGTTCTTAGTAATGCATACTGGAGGCTCAAGCTTAAAGTAAACCTCTAAACCTTAGAGGAGTTCTTAGTAATGCATACTGTAGGCTCAAGCTTAAAGTAAACCTCTAAACCTTTGAGGAGATCTTAGTAATGCATACTGTAGGCTCAAGCTTAAAGTAAACCTCTAAACCTTAGAGGAGATCTTAGTAATGCATACTGGAGGCTCAAGCTTTAAGCAGACCTGTAAAAGTATCCACTCTAAAACTTGAAATTGAATATTTGATTGAGCATTTGATTTTTTATTGATCTTTTCTTGTCACACTGTGGCCCTAAAAGAATTGGGTTGTAATTGGTTGCCGCGTAAAATATTTTTGATCTTTGATCGTCGTTATACTGTTATAATGTTTAATGGAACTCCCTGGACATTTGTGATCAGTTTAGAATATAGTTTGTTTAAAGAAAATAATCTTGGTGAAGTTTGTTTAAAGAAAATTTTCCTGGTGAAGTTAATATAATAATCCTGTAATTGTTAATTTTGCCTCTACTTGTCAATTTTGTCTGCTGTACAAATATTTTGGCAGATCTTATTTTCAGTGTTTTTAAACATATTCCTTTCATTAAGATTAAGATATTTTTTGTATTATTTATTTATCACTTATTTAAACATGGATGGATTATTTATTTATATTTAACAAATTTTATTTCGCATTTAAATGTGTGATTTTTACAAGTTTTTAATAAAATTATTTTTCTTATAATTTAATTTTGTGCAATATATTCTCTACTCTAGCGTATGTAAAGAAGCCTGGGCCATAGTTTGTTTGAAATGGATCAATCTAAACCCGCCAATCTCTACTCGGTGCAAAGTATTCTTTAAAGGGATTGTAAGCGTAATTTTAAGTGATCCTTCATGCACAGATGGCAATGCCCGATTTACAATAGTACCCTTAAAAGCTTTGTATGATCAAGTATGAATTAGATATCAATGTTTTTGTTTATTTAAACTGTTTATTATCATTCGTAAGTTCGCTGCCAAAATGACTTGCCTTAAAGAAGCCATGGAGAATTTATCAGAATAAAACACTTTTCAACTTGGATAAACGGTGGTATCATCCCATTTTTTTTATCAGATTAAAGTTGTAAGTATGAAAATCCATGTAATCTGAGCTGAAAACTTTAGAATGGGATATCCTTAATCCTGATCGGATAATTAATCTGGAGATTAAAAATGAGTGGAGAACGAGGAGAACAAGCAATATTTAATCTCGAGATTAAGAAAAAGAGTGGATTAAGCCTTAATCCCGATATCCACCATTCTAAAGTTTTCAGCTCAGGTTACGTTAATAAAAATCCATGTAATCAGGTCACTTCGTACTTCGTAGATTTATGATCGTTACAGTTTCTCAAAGAACCGTTCTAACTGCGTTTGGTAATTTCTTCAGACATTAGGGTCGTTACTCGTCAGCGGAAAATTCAATCTGTTCATTAGAAAAGCGACCATTCCTTATTACGGCGCCCAGCCATAACATTTGTTGGGTTTGAATTTTTATAATTTACTCCGTTTCTTGTGTTCTTTTAATATATCTGATGTAAACGCATGAAAAAATATTGATATTTTCACCGCACCTGGACTGATATTGATAACTGCCATTAAACCGTAGAAGGAATTAATCAAACATACTTGAAATAACTATTTACAAAGTTAAATCAAAACATATTTGAAATAACAATTTACAAAGTTAAATAAAAACATACTTAAAATAACTATTTACAAAGTTAAATCAAAACATACTTGAAATAACTATTTACAAAGTTAAATAAAAACATACTTAAAATAACAATTTACAAAGTTAAATGAAAACATACTTGAAACAACTATTTACAAAGTTAAATCAAAACATATTTGAAATAACTATTTACAAAAGTTAAATCAAAACATAATTGAATTATAACTATTTACAAAGTTAAATCAAAACATATTTGAAATAACTATTTACAAAGTTAAATCAAAACGTCGTTAACATAAGCTTGTAGAATTACAATGACGCGGATATAGTATATATTTGTGTATCTACACTCAAATTGATTAAGTATTTATTCACTTTGATCTACACCATACAGGGTGTCGTGTTAATATTGACAANCGAATAATCTTTAAAAATTTATTTTGTTAAAGTTCAATTCTCATGCTGTGATCTAATCCATTGATTGATACCCTAACCGGCAATTACAGCTGCACCAAGCAAAGCTATAATTCCTGCAGCTGCAAGTCTGTTACATGTGACTGGTGGTGAAAAGAGAGATAGCCGGCATGCTACTGCTCCGAAGTTGACCGCAGGGCAGATTTCTCTGCACGTGTTGAACAAGCCGAAAAATCTTGACTGACGCTTGACTTCTACCGTAGTTACATTAGATTGAGGTTCAGTTACGTTAGGTTGATCCTTGACCTCTAACTCTTTATTAGGTTGATCCTTGACTTCTAACTCAGTTGCATTAGCGCCATGCTCAGGTTCGGCATCCATCTTGGATACACTAGCGCCATTCACGCACATTGCAGCGAAGGAGAGAACTAACATACTGACAATAATGTTTTTCTTCATGTTGGAAGGTATTTGAGAATTCAAAGAGTGAAAATAAGGCAGCACAGTTAGGTTTAATAAGGTTTAAAAACCGTGAACAACTGTTGTAATGCAGCGCTTGATATATTGGCATCTCAGAACATTTATTTTTCAAGATTGGCATTTACTTAGTAATAACATTTTAATGACTTCAAATAAATCTATAAAAGTAGAGTTCATGACTGTACATCTGTATACATATATATCACTTATAGAATATATTTTTAGGATACTGTGCAATTATGGAGCTGATCTAGAAGCAAGGATAAAAGAATTGTTTAGAAAAAAAAAATATTTTATTTTATATTTTGAACTACTAAATCTATACGTTACAAATAAAAGATTTATCATTTTTTGAAAAAATTTTATTTTTGCCTATTTTTAAATACGCAACAAAGACTAAAGAGACAAGTTTGAAATAAATAGTGGAATGAATTTAATTGCAAAAATTCAAAAAGTTTAAGCGATCAAGTTTAAGTTCATTATTTTAGGAACAATATTAAAATTTTATTTTGAAAAGATTGAAATAAATTGTGAATTCATGAGATGAAAAACAGAATTATGAAAGGTTGACTCCTTATTTCAAGCTTTAATTTTCTTTTTAAAAATGAAAAGATAGCATTTTGTGATTTAAAACAATTTTTTGATGAAATGATAAAGCGAAGAAACAAAAGCCATAAAAGACAGTTTGGCTGACCGAACTATACTGCACAGTTTCATTCAGTGTTATCGACAAAGACATGTTAGGACAGATTTTAGAGTCACCATGTTTTCAAAATAAAAGTATAATTATTGTAACTTTTCTCTTCGGTTTTTAAGTCTTTTGATATTTGCAAATCTCCAATGATGTATGAAACATGTTTAACCTAGGATAATCATTTTAGGAAAGTTAGCAAAGAGTCTCAAAAAAGAAAGGATTGTCTCCAAGAGAAATAGTTTTTTTTGTGCCATGGTTCTTGATGAGCCAGTTGTGAGCCATGATGAGCCAGGAGTTGCCGACAATAGCAGTGTTGATTGGGATGTTTATTTGATCCAACCCAGTCCAGTTCAGGACGTTGTCCTGGTTACTATATACTTTTTGTATTAGTTTTTAATCTTAATAAAATAAAAAAATTTCGCCGATTTTTTTGCTTTCCAAAAAATAAAAAATAACCTTTTCTGTGGAATACAGGGTTCATCCATTTTGACGTTTCTTTAGTAAAGAACTGAACTTTCCGTTTGTTAGCGGTATTTTCCGTTCTTTCTCAAACTTTCCGTTTGTTAGCGGTATTTTCCGTTCTTTCTCAAAGTTTCCGATCTCTATTTAGCGATCTCTATTTTATTACCAGTGTTAACTGAAAATATTTTTAAAATCGTCAACGGTGCCATCCGTTTACAAGTTGTTAACGATTCTTACATGTAAAAATATTTGGGAAAGTTTGAAGGCATCATTTCAAAAATATCTAATAACGGAATAAATAATATCAAAATACATAAAATGAATTTTTTGATTAATATATAAACCCTCGTTATTTTTAAACACATCCGTTCGTTCGGTATTTCAAAAACAGTTTTGCCGTTCGTTAACGATATCTGTCGATAATTTTCAAGAACTTGCCGTTTTTTTGCGGAACGTTGGCCAGTCAAGGAGAGAGTTTGACAAATAGTTACTACAGGGTGTCCCAAAAAACATGGAAATTCAATGACGAATTCGATATCGTCTTTGTTATGAATTAGCATTTTAATACCTGATTTCAAAAGCCATAATATTATCATGTCTGCTAGAGCTTATTTTATGAAAAGGGTAAAAGACTGTAAAGATTTGTCCATAATGTCTCCGCAAGATGAACAGTGAAGACGGACAAGTTTAATCTGTTTGTATACTGTAATTTTCTAGTAATACTAAGTACAACCGTATGCAGTCAAAACATAAACAAACAAAATGTGAACATAGCAGACGAAACTCTTCCAGATTACAGCTTTTCAGTAGGTATCACTGTACCAAATCAAAGAATTATTTGAAAAGACGATATTGAATTCGTCACTGAATTCCCATGTTTGGGACACCCTGTTTTTTACTCATATAGCGCCAACTTAGAATACAGCGGATGCTCCCATCAGGTTGCAAAGATGTAGGGCTTAGAAACTAAGAGTTTGTGGCAAAAACTCAGTTCCCACTGGTCAATTGCTTTATACAAGCATTAAATGCACGAAACGTATTGCTATAATGTTGTCTTTATTTATTTGGAAACCGACTTAATTTTTAAACCATCCTATTAGCTTTATTAACATTTAATTAACATATAATTGATTATATTAATATTTTTTATGTAACACTTAAACTTTTTTTGGATGGTTAAAGTATTGATTAATTTTCCACCAAACTAAATTTTTCATCTTAATGTGTTTTTTCTTCTTCAATTTTTAATAATACGATTTTTAATCCAAGTTTTCCTTTCATCTGAAAAATATTATTTTAAAAGTGGTGTCACTTTACGAGTGACACTAGGATTTGTGCTGCAAATGCAATGCGGGATATTTTAAGGATCTCAGATATTGTTACTTAATTAAAGGTTTAAAGAGTATTGTTGCGTAACTGACATTCCACTTTTCAATTGGAGGGTGACTAGAAACTATAACTTCTGTATCATTAAATACAAAAGATTAATTGCATAAATTAGGTAAATTAAAGTAAATTTAATATTAAAAATAATCTATATAATGATTCTCTTCGCTCATATATGTAATATATATGTATATTTGTATGTTTGTATATTTGTATATATGTTAGCTATAGTTGAACTTTTTTGAGGGAAAAAATCAATTTTTTTTTTCAAATTCAACGGGCAACGCCGTCACTTTTGCTAGGTTGAAATAATTCTGGTAAAATCTAAATATTTTATTCTTCATAAACTATGATAGACACTGTAACAATATATAAATTAAACTTTATTTACATATTATTATTATTATTGTTATTAATATTATAATATATAATAACTCTCGGAAGTTGAATTTGAGTCTTAAGCCAAAGCATTATTTTTATCTTATAATTATTTCTATTTTCATTCGAAAAATCTTTTAATTTATTTTTTACTTAGAGATTATAAGAATGAATTTTTCCTTCCTTTTGTAAAATTGGATATTGAATTTTTATACGGAGGGGGGGGATATAACCTCTTAGCCCGCGATTTAAAATGTTGAGTTTTGTTCTCATCAAAAAACCGGAAATGCGCCAATTCCAACAATGAAAATTCGCCAAATACATTATTAAACCAGTTTTATGAACTCAACTCTGTGGAAAAATAGATTCAACTTAATTCCGACAGCTCAGGCCGTAAATAAGACCCAACGACAGCTAAGACCTGAGTCGTATTTCTTGATTTTTTTAAATGCTCCTAGGTTAGTTTAAACTTGTGTTTCTGAGCAGAGTCTGTGAAGCTTCTTTATATCTTCCTTTCTTCTACTGGTAGCAGACTCCAGTCTGTAATCAGGAGAAATAAAGTAGTAATCTTTGTTTGTGATCTGAACTTATGAACCCCTTGGTTGATTTGACTTAGATTTTGATTGGGGAAACTTGGTAAAACTACGGGAATGTTCAAAGTTGACACTTATCACTTACATAAGAAGGTTTATTTTTAAAAAACTTATTCAACTTACCTCAATATTTTCTTTATTTCTAAACCCACAGGAAGCTCTTCGATTCTTTTCAAAATGGACTTTCCACCAACACTCCTATAAAATAGTTAAATATCATATTTACAAGTGTAAAGAAACTAGGTTTTCAGGGCCCATTTTCTATTTCAATTCTGTACATTTTCTTTTAAATTATATTGTAAAAATAAATTCGCGGGTTTTAAAAAAAAGTCGACGATTTTCAAAATTTAACGAAAATCGAACTTTGTCGGAGGCATGTTTTTATCATCCAGAAACCTCCCTGGAGTCATATGAGGTCCCACACAAAGTTTGGGCTCGAATAGTTCAGCCGTTTTGACGTTTATTGGATACAAACATTCAAGCAAAGTATATATATATATTAATTCTTTGCCACAAACTCAAATTTCTATATCTTGGCAACCTGTGTATCGTGTAAACCTTTCATGTTTTAAACCTAGATTATTTGATCTGGCATGGAAATCATAATTTAAAGTATTCAAGGTCTACAACATTGGGTTTATTAGGTAAAGTGATTAGAAAATCAGAGTTTGTGGCAAAGTCTCAATTCCTAGCTTTGTTATACTTTTACTGAATTGAGATATATAAGAGTAAGATTGGGTCAACATTTTTGTGGGAACCAAGCGCTCCTAAACACTCTAGTTCCTTAAATGAGGGAAGAAAATGAGTTTTAAGTAAATATTTAGCCCCTCATTTAAAAAAAAAATATATTCATACCATGACCAATATCTGATTTATGACTAAAGCATGAAAAAAATTGCAATTTCAGCACACCTGGACACATTTCTCACATTAAACCATAGATGAGATTAGTCAAAAAAATGAAATATATGAATTTATGTTTGAAATAACAAGAAATAATTTTTTACCGATGTTAAAATGAGCATTAAGATTCTTTCCCAGGGGACGGTTGAAAATACTTGCTAATATGAATTATTTCCCATCTCTGGATATGATCGTAAGCTGCCCCTGTATATGTATAGCAGGACTCATAAAACTGTATAGTGTATATGTATAGCAGGACTCATAAAACTGTATAGTGTATATGTATAGCAGGACTCATAAAACTTTTTAGTGTATATGTATAGCAATACTCATAAAACTTTATAGTGTATATGTATAGCAGGACTCATAAAACTGTATAGTGTATATGTATAGCAGGACTCATAAAACTGTATGACAGAAGGACGACATTTCAGCAATCATAAGCTTCTGTGTATTGATGTTATAAAGTAAATAGTTAAGTAACCAATAGTTTGAAGAGATCTACATATTAAAAGAAATATGTACGTACACACTGGGCAATTCTTTTTTATATGTTCATTGGATAACTACGTCTTTCTATTTCACAGTTTTATGAATACTTATTCTGGGAACCACTGTACCTGGAGAGAATATATCGAATCCTACAGATTGTGATGAGGACAAGTTTCTGGGGTTGAGAGGACGAGGAGTCAATCAGATCTGTTAATAATCTGTCTTGTCTTAAACAGAACTTAATCAATAATCTGTCCTGTTTTAAACAGAACTTAATCAATAACACCTGTCCTGTCTTAAACAGAAATTAATCAATAATCTGTCCTGTCTTAAACAGAACTTAATCAATAATCTTTTCTGTCTTAAACAGAACTTAATCAATAATCTGTAATGTCTTAAACATAACTTTATCAATAATCTGTCTTGTCTTAAACAGAACTTTATCAATAATCTGTCCTGTCTTAAACAGAACTTAATCAAACATCTATCTTGTCTTAAATAGAACTTTATCAATAATCTGTCCTGTCGTAAACAGAACTTAATCAATAACCTGTCCTGTCTTACATAGAACTTAATCAATAATCTGTCTTGTCTTAAACAGAACTTTATCAATAATCTGTCCTGTCTTAAACAGAACTTAATCAATAACCTGTTCTGTCTTAAACAGAACTTAAACAAACATCTGTCTTGTCTTAAACAGAACTTAATCAATAATCTGTCCTGTCTTAAACAGAACTTAATCAAACATCTGTCTTGTCTTAAATAGAACTTTATCAATAATCTTTTCTGTCTTAAACAGAACTTAATCAATAATCTGTCCTGTCTTAAACAGAACTTAATCAAACATTTGTCTTGTCTTAAATAGAACTTTATCAATAATCTGTCCTGTTTTAAACAGAACTTAATCAATAACCTGTCCTGTCTTAAACAGAACTTAATCAATAATCTGTTCTGTCTTAAATAGAGCTTAATCAATAATCTGTAATGTCTTAAACAGAACTTTATCAATAATCTGTCTTGTCTTAAATAGAACTTTATCAATAATCTGTCCTGTCTTAAACAGAACTTAATCAATAATCTGTCCTGTCTTAAACAGAACTTAATCAATAATCTGTCTTGTCTTAAACAGAACTTAATCAATAATCTGTCCTGTCTTAAACAGAACTTTATCAATAATCTGTCCTGTCTTACATAGAACTTAATCAATAATCTGTCCTGTCTTAAATAAAACTTGATCAATAATCTGTTATTTTTTAAACAGAACTTAATCTATCATTTGTCCTGTCTTTAAAGGAGTGTCCGCGAAAAATGAAAGGGGGTATATGCTTACGTAGAAAAATATTTGATGCTGATTGCTACAATCTTACTTCTATAGGTTGCGTCTATAATGAGAAAATTGTTAACAACGAAGAAGGAACTTTATTTTTTTATCTTTGAGAAGGAAGCGTTCATACAAATTCAGAAAGTTGCAATATTCGACTCACATTGTAAATAAATATTCATAATATTTTTTACTTGTTTCATATACGATGTACTTTAACGACGATTTTTTTGTCGCTAGGCGTCGTTCTTCCAAATGAAACCCCAGAAGCACCGAGAGCAGAAAATAATGGTCCTTTAATTATTATTATCAGATATTAACCATAAACAAATGCGTCGAATAAAATTCGATGATTATAGGTTGTAATATCTGAATGATTTGTTTGGAATTCAATTGAATTATTTACGATCTGAGTTGAATATTGAAACTTTCTGAATTTGTATGGGCGCTATACAATCTACGGTGTGAGTCGTTTTAAACCATTTTCTTCATATAGACGCGACAGATAGAAGTAATATCAGTAGTGATCACCATCGAATATTTTTCGACGTAAGCCTATACCCCCTTTCATTTTTTGCGAACACTCCCGTCAAACAAATCTGTTCTGTCTTAAGCAGAACTTGATCAATACTATCTCTGAGTAGGTCTGGGACTCTAGGGAGGTCCAGGTAGGTCTAGGTGGGTCTAGGGAGGTCCAGGTAGGTCCAGGTAGGTCCAGGTAGGTCTAGGTGGGTCTAGGTAGGTCTAGGTGGGTCTAGGTTGGTCTAGGTGGGTCTAGGTGGGTCTAGGTGGGTCCAGGTAGGTCTAGGGGGGTCTAGGTGGGTCTAGGTGGGTCTAGGTGGGTCCAGGTAGGTCTAGGTGGGTCTAGGTAGGTCAGGGTAAACCTAAGAAGGTACCTGATCTGTTAAGGTACAGGGTGTCCTAAATCATTTCAGATCGTTTTCGGGACTAAGCAGAAAATTAAAAAATTCATTAAAAAAAATTGTATAAACCTAATTTAAAAATTTGCATGCAGAAAAAAACTAGTTTTTTTCGAGTATTATATACGTATATTTCAGCGTTAAATCTTGGAGATAATCCAATATGATATGGGACACTCTGTAGACTGTAGGTCTGGGTAGGTACCAGATTTGTAAAGGTAGGTCTTGTCAGATGACTGATCTGTTAAGGTAGGTCTAGTTAGGTACCTGATCTGTTTAGGTAGGTATAGTTAGGTACCTGATCTGTTGAGGTAGGTATAGGTAGGTACCTGATCTGTTGAGGTAGGTCTATTTGAGAACCAAATCTGTTCAGGTAGGTCCAGGTAACCACCTGATCTGTTAAGGTAGGTCTAGGTAGGTACTTGATCTGTTAAGGTAGGTCTAGGTAGGTATTTGATCTGTCGAGGTAGGTCTAGGTAGGGTTAGGTAAGTACCTGATCTGTTGAGTTAGGTGTAGGTAGGTACCTGATCTGTTGAGGAAGGTCTAGGTAGCCACCTGATCTGTTAAGGTAGGTCTAGGTAGGTACCTGATCTGTTGAGGAAGGTACTCCTTCTCTACCCAGCTCCAAGGTTGAATTCTAGCACCAGACTGAATAATGTGATACGCTAGATCTCTACTGTTGTTGTACACTACCCAGAACAAGGTATTTCTAAACATGAACTATTTGAAATCATAACAGTCGTCTTCCTTTTCCACAGGTTTTAATCTATAGGTCCTGTAAGGCGAACTCTCTTTTATATCAAGAAAAAAGAAAAAGAAAAAAGTCTTCAGATTTGGCATTTCCCAAAAGTCTCCACAAGATATGTGTCACAATCGAAACGCCTTTCAATTTTGCTTTAGGCTGGTTAGTTAAGTGTACTTTCCTTTCTCTATGGGTCCCGCAATGTTTAAGATAAAATATATACCTTAGCGCCCTATCTCTATATTCTAAGTTAGCTCCATGGGTAACTAGAAGACTAGCAATTTCCTTTCCACTCTCCTAGGTATTTATAAAGGTTATTAGTAAATATATTTGATCTGTCTGTCAGTCTGAATCCAATAAACGTCAAAACGACTGAAGCAATTAAACCCAAATTTTTAGGGTGAAAAGCATACAATGTTGATACCACTGTTTTTGAAATCAATCAAGTGAACAGAAACCCTGAAAATTTTAAACTTACAAAAGAAATTGCACCCTAAAAGCTGCTCGTCCAAACATATTCCCTGAATTAATGTTTAATGAAACTTAATGATATTATGCAGCATGATTCGGTCAGGCAAACTTTCATTTTTATTACTGCAGATATAACTAGTTTCTTTACTTTATAATTTTATCAGTTACTTGTTAAAGGAAAAACTTTAGGTAGATATTTCTTATCCTCTCTAAACAGTTCAGCTTCAGATGTTACCTCAAAAATGAGCAACTTTCCTTGATTTATGTTCATGAAGTGGATATTGAGTTTACTTTTAAAGTTAAGCTCGCTTTCCATGGTGGACTAGGGTAAATTGAATTCAATCTGGACCAACCCCTTGTACCGAGTTGTACAGTACTAGCCTTTGTGATGCACTGGAAGTACTGGTCTTATACCCAATACCTTGGTTTCAACTTTGATAGCACGGCCAGACTTTTTACAGCAACCTTCATAGGCCTGTTTGACCTGCCCTACATGCATAGCAAAGTGTGTATCATCTTAAAAAAATTCCCTCTTGTTCATTATCTATTAAATTTATGGACTAACCTCATGTTTGAGTCTTACTCAACATGTTTTAATTTACCTTAAGTAACGGAATTTTGCAGGCCAACTGAAGAGGACAGGATACATCATTATTCTCGTAGTAGACCTGAATAGTGTATACATACACATAGACTTTATTTAGCAGTTATCCGATTGGTGAAACATTTTTTATATACGATTTCCCAGGCTAGCTAGGTGAGGAATCTAAAGAGTTCAACAATTGGTAACATTAAGATTGTGTAGCATAACGCAGAGAGAAAAAAATTTCAATTTAAGACATAATTTTTTTTAATGAGTTTTTTCAACCTAAAAATTCCAATTTCAATGTTTTTACCTTAGCCCCCTTATTAATGAGGTAGTTCACCATGTCATATTTTTGTTCTCGTACTGCCGACCATAGTGCTGTATGTCCCTCTCCATCTCTAGCAAATTAATTAAAGATTATCATAAATAACAATTCAACAACTAAGTTTTTACCTTGCTTCTAGGTCAGCTCCATAATTGCACAGTATCCTAAAAAATATATTTTGAGTGATATATGTATACAGATGTACTGCAGTCATGAAGTCTTCTTTTATAGATTTATTTGAAGTCATTAAAATGTTATTACTGAGTAAATGCCAATCTTGAAGAATAAATGTTTTGAGATGCCAATATAACTCATATGACAAGCACTGCATTGCAACATTTGTACTCAGTTTATAATCCTTTAAAAACCCAACTTTACGGTGTTATTTTCACTCTTTGGATTCTCAAAGACCTTCCAACATGAATAAAAACATTCTTTTTACTAAGTTATTTCTCTCCTTTGCCACAATATGCGTGAATGGTGCTAGTGTATCCAAGATGGAAGCCCAACCTGAGCATGGTGATAATTTAACCAAGGTAGAAGTCAAGTCTCAATCTAATGTAGCTGAAGTAGAAGTCAAGTCTCAACCCAATGCAGCTGAAGTAGAAGTCAAGTCTCAACCCAATGCAGCTGAAGTAGAAGTCAAGTCTCAACCTAATGCAGCTGAAGAAGAAGTCAAGTCTCAACCCAATGTATCTGAGGTAGAAGTCAAGTCTCAACCTAATGTAGCCAAAGTAGAAGTCAAGTCTCAACCCGATGTAACTGAGGTAGAAGTCAAGTCTCAACCTAATGTAACTAAGGTAGAAGTCAAGTCTCAACCCAATGTAACTGAGGTAGAAGTCAAGTCTCAACCTAATATAACTGAGGGAGAAGTCAAGCGTCAACTTAATGTAACTGAGGTAAAAGTCAAGCGTCAGCCAAGGTTCTTCCCCAGCATATGCAATGCATTCTGCGCTGGGGTAAACTTCGCACCAATATTATGCCCACTTGGATTTTTCTGGGCTCCAGTAATCTTCTGTAACGATGTTGCAGATGCAGGAGTTGCAGCATTGATTGGTGCAGCTTTGATTATAGGTTAGGGTATCAATGCATGCAATCCAGCAAGAGAATTTAATTTACAAAAATTTGATTAAATATTTGTTGTTGTATGTAATTCAATTTTTTATTTCATAATTAATAATAACTTTAAAATTTTTTAAATATGATTTTTTTGCCATTGGTGATTTTCAAACCTTATTGTACAGGGAATTAAGAGTTCTTGGCATCTATATATAAATTTGGCTTGTCTGTCTGTCTGTCTGTGTGTTTGTATCCAATAAACGTCAAAACGGCTGAACCGATCAAAAAAAAATTATTTTTATTTGTCTTCTTGTGAGTTTTGTATAGTTGTTTTGTATGTGATTGACTTAGGGGTTACTTTTAACTGACGGAATTAAGAATAAAAGATACCACGTTTTCTTACTTTAATATTTATGTTGCAATGTAAGAAAAACTGTCATAATGCCATAATAAAAAGTAATGGATTTACTATTTGCAGCTTTTGTTTCCTTTAGATTCAGAGAAATTATTTTGTTTTTTGGAAAAGTTAAATAGTTTTTGGATTAAAAGTTGTAGCTCTCAAAAGTAATTGCATTCATCATTTAGAATCATTAAAACCAGAATCCAATATTGTATCTGTCAGTGTATATCCTTCATATTACTATGCTATTCTAGTTTTTTTTTTTGCTAAAAACTCAGAATTGTTAAACTCTGCAGTAAAACTTAGCATACAAATTTTGAGAAAAGCATATAAAGATATCTTGATCAAGCATTTTCTTTAAAAAAGTGCAATCAAAACTGTTTATTCGTTTTGTTTCTAAGAAAGATTTGAAAAAATGTTCTATTCTTTGCGTTGTATTAAAATGTTCAGCCTTAACGTTTCTTACGTTACACTTCATTATAAATAATATTGATTCTAAATGAAAGCATTACAAGATTTTTTCCGTGATAATTACATTCTTACTTTAGTATTTTTCATCCTAAAACATGAACCATGTTAAAAAATTGTGTTTTTAATCCCTTTTTTACTCACCCTGTATGTTTCTGTTGTATTGTTAACCTTTTTAGAGAATGTGTAAAAGAAAATGCAATATAGAGATGTTATAATATTATTATTTTTAGCGGTTTTTAACAATGTGAATGAAAGTTTTTAGCATTTGACTTTCAACTTAAGGGTGTGTCTTAAAGGGACTAGAGACGTAATTTTAAGTGACCTTCCACTTATGGAGTGGCATGTCCAGCATACATTTACAAGATAGGAAAACGCTGGTATTTTCAAATCATCAATCAGATAAAGATATGCACGTTACCATTGGGAAGGACCACTTGAAATTATCATCGTGCATTTGACGAGCTTAAAAAATAGACATGTTTTTAGGCACTTCATAAAATGAATTTAAATTCGGAAAGGTAAACCACTTTTGCATGTGGAACACTCGTTCTAAATTATTTTAGGTTAATGTAGGATTAATTTTTTCTTTTTTTACTCAATACAAACTGACCCTCCGGTGGATTTTATTCTATCTTACAGAATTCATAGTTTGAAATATCTAAGATCTACAACATTGGGTAGCAAAGATATAGGGATAGAAATATAAGTTTGTGACAACAACTCCATTCCTTTAGACATTCTTATCTAACAGAAGTCATTGCTTGAAATATCAAAAGTCTACAACACCATCTTCCAAAGATGTAGAGATTAGAAAACTATAATTTGTGGCAAATGTTTAGTTGTTTTTGTGTTTATTTTATATTACTTACAAAGTGAGTAAAAAAGCAGCATTAGCTTCAGTTTACAAACCACAATGAAAATGTTTTCAGAGTTCATGTTTGGGATTAAAAAAATATCAAATAAAGTAAGACAAATGCTTTCTTTTTTTTACACAAACAAGGCAAAATAAAAATTTTTAACATTTTTTTCTTTTTTTTTAATCGATTAAAAAATCAGTTTATTATTTTATTCTGAAGTTTCATAAAAATCTATTGAAGAATAAAACATAACACGCATTTTCCAATTGATAAATATTTTTGCATTTTATATTTTGTATCTACATTTTTACATTTTTCAACCTAAAACATGAACCATGCCAACTGAAGTTATGATTTCAATTAGTCAAATAAACATGAGTGTTTCATGATTCATGTTGTGTTCACAGACCAGTTCCACTTAATAAGTTGATTTTTTTGCTATTAGTAAATCATTTGCTTTAAAACAGAAAATGCATTTGTCTAATTTCTTAAATGTCGTCTTCCTTTTCCAGAGTTTTAGTGGGTTTCATAAAACAATGGCAAATCAAAAACCTGTAATTTCCAAGAAACATTTAGAAGATTTGAATTTTCACTAATAGCATGTTACAAAAAAAATTGTTTGCACTTTAGAAAGAAACTAAGCTTTTTTTCAAATATACTAATCCCTATATCCTTCCAAAAAGGATGGTTTAAACCTTTTATATTTCAATATTAGTGGTATACGACAACGGGCTGCAAAGATATAGTAAATGAAAATTAGAGTTTGTGGCATAAACTCATTTCCTTTAAACTTGAAATGAAAAACCATTAGTCTTTGCTGTCATAATCATCAGTCGAATGGCAGAATTATTGTTACACTTTTGAAATTAAAACTCAGCCCTCATAGTCTAACGCTTTATGAACAATATTTTCCTCAGACATATATCTAACGTTAGACTAATTAATTTAGTATTCAGAGAAAAGTTATGAAACGTTTTTATTTACAGAATTACATTTTTTTAAATGTTATACGTTACATTATTGAAATTTACCCTCTGTGTAAAAAAACTTTCGTTTCCTGATTACAAAAGTAATAACCCATTTCTGAAACGTTGAATTTTACAATATGCTTTAAGGAAAAACGTTTTAAAACGTTTTATAAACAGTAATGCATTTTTCAGTTATACAACGTTACACTTTTTATAAGTTGAACTTTGAAATATAAATCCTTTTGTTACGATAATCAATCAAATCACAATTCATTTTTCAAACGTTAGACTTTCAAGCTCCCCATGGAAACAAAAAATTTCTTCACGTTATGGTCAAACAAGATGAAGATATTAGAAAAATAACGTTACCCTACCACAAAACACTAACGTTATTTTCCTCTAATGTTAACGTTAGGTATGAGGTCCTATAACATTAACGTTTAACGTTCACGTTCTACAGAATATAATAAAACTTTTAGATATTACAACCTTTCATGGCGAAGATGTCGGGTATATAATTCTGGACTTTTGATGTTCGACATTGGCTTGTATGCAGGGTAATATATATTTCAAAATAAATATTGAATATAAATTATACCTCACAAATGTATATATATGTGATAATATATAAAATAAATATGGTTCTTGAGAAGAGTTCCGTTCTAAGTCATGAACTACATCAACAAATTCCATTCCATTATAAGCTAATTCATCCAAACCTTTTTTGGTTTTGAATCTTTTAGGCGGAATTTTACAACTCAATTATATTCTGTTTAATTCAAGAGACTGTTTTCATATTTTAGGATCTAATCAGTATTATTCTGTTTAGTTCAAGGGATATCAATTTAATAAATACTAGCTGAAATTTCCGGCGTTGTCCATGGAATTAAAAAAATTGAAGTTTGAAAAAATCCGATTTTTGATTAAAAAAATTTAGATTAAAAAATCAAACTTTTTTGGCCTATGTTACCCCAAGGGTACCCATGAGTTTCCATTAACAATTCAGCCAATTCGGTTCAGCCGTTTGTCCTGCTATAACTAGCATATATACACCGTAATGTATATGAACGCAGAGCTTTATTATGTATATAGATCTAGTTGGAGTAAATGTGCTATTTGATTATTTTATTCTTATTTTTATTTACAAATAATCCCTACTTTTTGCCCGATATTAATTTGTAGAAAATTATTTTTTTCAAAAATAGCCCGTAGAAACCCAGCGTTGGCTGGAAATTAAAAATTTAAAGTCAATCAACTAGTTAAAAATTTCTAAGCCTTTGTTTAAGTAAAAAAATGGGAATAGGATTGTTTTATAAGACACTATAAAACTGTTTGCAAGGGCCATGAAAAAATTAATAAAATGATTTTTTTTGGCTCAGAATATAAAAAATCCACGTTTCTTATTTGTAATAAATAATTATTCCTTCAGAAATTGATTTAAAAATGTTTTTCAAGTCGTTCAAAAGTTTTATAAACAATCTATGATGAAAAGAATTATCAGAAAAAAAACTGCAAAAAATATCAGTACAGTGCTGTCTACTGATCCAAATCTTACAAAGATGGCAAAATGGAACTTTATAATTAATTTTTTTTCTTCAAGTTTATGTCTCAAAAATCACACACGGCATTCTAACTTTTAATTGTTTTAAATCCCGCGGGATGAACGAAAATATTCTTTCCTGTAAAAAGATGCGTCTTATTTTGCAGTTTTCTGTTTCTTTTGCCATATACTCTTAAGATATTTAAAGTAGTGTCTAATAGCCCTGACTATCAAACTATAAATACATTGAAAGAATATTGCCAGCATGATTATGTAGAGATAACTCAGAAGAGAAAATTAGAAAAATGTGGCTCAATTGCAGATACAATGCGGCTCAATCATAGCAATAATGCAGCTGGCCCACCTCACCTCGTTAAAGAAATGCCAAAGCATAAAATGCTAAGTTAAAGCGTTACATTTTACAAGTGTTAAATGATTATATAAACCTAGCCACCCTGCCCTATCTTTACTCTTTGGAACCTCGAAAGACCTACCACAACCATCTCCAACATGAACAAAAATATTCTTTCCTGTCTGTTAGTTCTCTCCTTCGCCGCAATGTGTGTGAATGGAGCTAGTGTACCCAGGATGGAAGCCAAGCCTGAGTCAAGATTCTTCTTTTTCTTCAATCTGAGAAATGTGTTGACCTACAACAGATGCAACGCAACATGCAGCGCAGCAGCATTTGCAGCTACCACCACATGCCAAGTATTTCCTTGGTTCACAGTCACTTGCAATAATCCAAATGTTCAGACGCTTTCCATCTTTGGTTAGAAAGGCAGCTTGTATAAATATCTTCATGAGAATTTAGGATGTAATAAAAACTTCTAATAATAAATATTTGACAAATTGGATATTCTTAATTTTAATTATACAAAAAGAAAAATGTCTGCTTCTCTTATGCATTTACTTTGTCAATGTTGAAACTTATTGTAACTTATTTAACGTGAGAAGGACTTCCCATGAAGAAATATTCGTTTACGGTATTAATCACACGCAACATTAAAAGGCGAACCATCAGGAAGAGTTGTCAGAGGCTAACAGCACAAATTAATTCTGTACATACATTATTGTATACAATTATTGTCGTCTTAATTTTTCTTTTCTTTGTAGTGAAATGTCGCCTAAGACTTCGTAATTTCAACTAAACTATCTCTAAAAAAAAAGTATAAAAATCCGACATGATGGAGGTGCATGACTTTACGCAAAAAGTTTTTACCTAAAACCAAAACCAACAGAAAACTCGAAAGTTTGACTCTGAGTCTATTTTTAAATTCAAAAAAATGTTAGAGGATAAAAATTGGGAAAATGTTCTTCTGAATAGAGATCAGGACAGTGCATTTAATAATTTTTTTGAGTCAATTGATAACTGTTTCGAATGTTCATTCCCTGAAAAAAATGTATTATATTTATGTTTTTCTGAACTGTCCTAGAATTTTATACTAATGTTTCTCTGAACTATCCTAGCATTTTCTTAAATTTCACTGAACTTAATATTTCATTTTTCTTAGCTGTTTCGACTCAATTTGAACCAACAATTATATTTTAAATTTTATGTTTTAAAAAAGAAAAAAAATTACGTTTTTGATGAAATGTTTCAGTTTCAAAATTGTGTGAATTATTCAAATTAAAGTTACACAAATAATTGAGTTCGCTACGCTGAAAAAAAGAACATTTTGTCGACAAAAAATGTATTTATATAGATATAGAACTTCTTGTTGTTATATCTATTTCAATGTTTTGATAAAATAACTCACAAAAAGAATTTCAACCACAACTAATTAAACTTTCAATTTGTAATAAAAACTTTTAAACTCTAGTGAGCTGTAAATATCCCTGGATTAAGTTCAAGATTGAAATTTTGAAGACATTGTTTTCTACTTTATCCTGAACAATGCAGTTAAATATCGAGTTAGTCCGGAAGAAAAACAATGTAATCCACGAAACTTAGGATATAAATCCGCAATACATCAAATATGGCGATGTATACAATGAAAGTTATCCTAGCCTCGTTACTATTCTGTTCTATCTCAGCTTCAACTGGAGACAATACGGTATGTTTTATTTAAACTATGAATTAAAAAATCTATTTTAATTATTCACAATTTTGAACATTTTTTTACTAATCTATAAGCAGAGACTTAATAAATATGATTTCAATGGTTTTAGTTTCAAGTCATAACATGCAAAAACAAAATATCGGAAATAAATCCGAAAATGTATAAAATATTTTATTAAAACCTTTAAAAACTTTCAGATTATTGATACTGCTGGTTTAGAGCCAACAGGGTTACAAAATGTTGAAGGTGAAATCTTAATCTTTTAAATCGATAATGATTTTGACAAATTAAAAAGGATTTTTTTAAAATAAAAAGATGAAAGTTGTACAGTGTATGCTTGCAGTCAAGTGTGTACCTATTGTGTTATGAAAATAATTTTGAAAACAGATTTTTATAATCTTACACATTATTTCATTGAATTGTTTGTAAAAATCTCCAATAGCGAGAATAAATAAATAAAAGTATAAATATATGAATTCTTGATTCTTATGAAAGAGCTATCAAAGGGACTAAACACGTAATTTCAAGTGACCCTCCATGCAAAGATGACAATTCCCGATTCACAACGGTAACCTTAAAATCTTTGTCTCTGATCATGTATGAATGTTCAATGTTTGAAATTTTAAAAACAATTTATTTTCAATTGTAGTTTCTCTCCAAAATTGACTTACGCATTTCTACCACAGGTTTAATCAGAATAAAACAGTCTTAAACTCAGAAAAACGACAATATCTTCCACATTATTGATCAGACAGAGGTTTTAAGTGCACCGTCGTCAATCAGGCCTTGCCATCTTTGCGTCACTTTAAAATTACGTATACATTTTCTTCTAGAAAAACCGAAATTCCAAATTTAACCAAATAAATGCAACCTTCTCCTTCTATCTAACGGAGCTTGATCTAGATGTTAGAGAAAATATAATATCAATGGATTTGGATTGGGATCTAGAGAATATACAGGAAATGAATATGGAAAACATCGGATATGGAATAAATGTGACAGGTAAATATTCAATATTTTTTGCTTATTTATTTTACCATTCTTTCTCTGCATAGACTTTTCCATATAAATGAATAATGATGTCCTATTTGTATCTCAGGTTTTGCTCGTTTTACCCGTACTCTCTTAACCTATTTCCACTCCCCCCACCCAAAAAAAAAAAATTGCTTCCAGCTTTAGATTTCCGATAATTGTGCAGCACCAAAACATTGTGATATGTACATTTAAATATTTTTTTTATATAATATAAATTGTTGGTTCAGAATTGAGGCTTTATCTTCAACTACTAGCTTTTGAAAACTTTTAATTTTTTGAAACGTTTAAGAATCTGGAGATGATGTTGTTGAATCCAATCTGAAGTCTCCAGCAATGTCATTTATAAACGAAGAGGTGGTGAGTAATCAACAACTCACGAGAATTTAATTTTTAAAAGAAAAGTAAATTGGACGTTTTTGGATCGTAGACCATTAAAAAGAATTGTTTGTATTATCCATGTGCATTGTGCAAGTTTACAGCAAACTAACTTCTTTTAAAGATTAATGCAACGTCGTAATATGTATTCATTCAATGTATACTGTATTTTTTGTATATGTATGTATGAGAGATATTTTTGTATGTTTGTAAGGTTACAAACAATTTTGTGTTCATTCAACGTTTATCCTGTACATATTTATATTGTATATGTAACATGTATATATATTAGGTGAACTTTATATGTATAGTATACATATATCCATCCATACTCAGTTAATCTTTGCCTTTGGTCGAAATAAAGCAAGAATATACCCTGAAGATGGTTAGATAAACCGAAAATTTGGCAAAAAGAGTTTGTGTTTCTCGGATCTGAGAGTGTTAGATTTAGAAGAATTGTATATCCATGCATAAATTAAAGTAAATTATTTATATAACTTCAAAGATACAAGCGCAAGTATTTCTTAAAAATCAAAAAAGAAAAATCTTAAGGGAAAAAAACTGACAAATGCATGGTGAAAATAAAAGATTTTTTTATAAAAGATCTGAAATTCCAAGATCTCATTTAAAAGATATTTAAGCCTTCAGGGGTGGCAAAGAAAATGTTTCAATCACAAACAAATACAGGGTGACCCACATCATATTAGATCGAGTATAGCTCAAAATTGCGATTTTAGGGACTAATCAGAAAATTTTAAAACAATAAATCATTTTTAAAAAACGTTGAAGGTTTTTTATAAAAGTTTTCTTGCAGAAAATACTAGGTTTTTCGAGTATTATGTGTGTATTTTGGCCTTAAAGCTTGGAGATAATCTAATATGATATGGGACGCTCTGTATCTGAACCCCGGCCCTCCTAGTTGCGCCTCTAAAGAATTGTTTTTAAGTATGGAACTTTATTTTTTTTAATACAATTTTTACTAAAAATAGAACTGAACTACAGTGGTCGGTTTTTACAGTAATACAATGAAAACGCCTTTTTATTGATAATGCTTTGATTCTTGATATTCGTTGTAAACAAAGAGAAACTGTAAATTTCTATTTGTTTATATTTTTTACGCCTAACTACTGGTTTGGTATAAAATCAAAATTAACCATAAGTCTTCTTCATTGTATTGATATATACGACGACGATTGCATTCAACCCGTTTTATACAGTTCAGATTTGTATTAAAATCCTTTATGTGTCTAGGTTGTTAAGGCGGAGAAGGAGGAAGGTCGGCGGAGAAGATCTAATGTATTCCTCTTATAATCTAGATTGTAAAGGCGGAGAAGGAGGAAGGTCGGTGGAGAAGATCTAATGTATTCCTCTTATAATCTAGGTTGTTGAGACGGAGAAGGAGGAAGGTCGGCGGAGAAGATCTTATGTATTCCTCTTATAATCTAGGTTGTTGAGGCGGAGACGGAGGAAGGGGGCGGAGAAGATCTAATGTATTCCTCTTATAATCTAGGTTGTTGAGGCGGAGAAGGAGGAAGGGGGGCGGAGAAGATCCAATGTGAACTGGGTTCTTATAGGAATGGGATTATCTGTAGGAATTGTATCTGTTGGTATAATAGCTGGCGTTATTATATTAACTGTAAAGTGTCTTGGTAAAAAGAAGAGATCTGTTAGAATTGAAGAAAGGTGGGATTTTCTTTTATAAATTCATGTCTGTGGTAATATGCCTGATATCTTCTAAATGCAAATCAGAGTGTCGGAGTATATATGTTTCTAATTCTATACGTATATTGACAAACCACATGAACATTTAGACAAATTAACTAAAATGAAAAGTAAATGTTATATTATATTATGTATTATAAATATAATCTTTCTTTTACTAAACGTTATTCTAAGAAAGAAAAAGAGAAAGAAACCGAAGAAAAACGATTATTTTTTTGGTTAGTTTTATGCATTCATTTTCTCTCAATATTAAAGTTTTATGCATTCATTTTCTCTCAATATTAAAGTTTGGTTAAGTGTGTAGAAAAATCCCAATATTTAGAGTAAGTAAACAACTCTAAGATTTCTGTGGAACCTTGTTTATGCAAAACATTTAAGAATAAAAATAAAAAAAATTTCCAATCACTAGATACAATATACTGATGAAAAGATGAGTTTTTCCACGTCAAAGCTTCGATATAAAAAAGTTGATTTTTTTATTGCATTGTTCTATCTCATTTTCAAAATTTTCGCAAACTTACAAGATGTAAATTTTCCTTTAACATTTTTACTGTTTTTATATCTTTTATATTTCAGGGCCTAGTTTGAGAATATTATAATCTGATCAACACATATGCTCTATGCTTTGGATAAATCTATTGTAAAATAATAATAAAATATATATTCTAAAACGTGATCGAGTTTAGCTTCATTTAGTTGTGTGTGGATCCATGCAAAGATCAAGGCAGCTATGACAATTGTTTATCAATTTTCAAGATTGTTTAAAAAGTGTCTGAACGCATGTTACCCTAGACATGTAGATTTTAGAACTGCAACGAGCTGGTGTCTATATAGTTCCAATAAAACAAGTATAGCGGAAAATGTACATGTTGGTTGACTGTGGTCTGTGAATATAAAACAAAAGAAAATAAGATAAACCCTGAGCCGACATTAAACACCAGTATACTATAAATAATCCATGATGGAATCGTCAAACACAAAAATAAATCATCCCTGAAGTAAAAATAGAAGATGATTTCCAGATATGTCACATAAATTTCACTAGAAAGGGATCATTCATTGGCGTACCGTCCCGTTTTGCCTTGTAGTCTATATTTGTACAGTACAGCTTGCTCTAGTCGGTCCAGGACATGAAATGAACCGGAATGTACAAAGCTGTGAATGGTTTTCATTTAGAAACAAACTTCAGTCAATTAATCAATGCTTTGTAATTTGTATTACCTTGATATTAGCATCTCTCTAAGTATTTCCTTCATAACATCTACTTTACCCAGCTGTACACTGCAGGACAGCGCTGTTACACCTCTATAAAGTGTTAATATTGTTTGGCTTGTCGGTATTTAAAGGGAGTGGCCGGCTTTGTAAGGTAGTTGAAATGAGTATGCAGTGTTGTGGAAAACTTCTTTCGGATTCATTTGAGACATATGAAACTTTTTGAAGATCTGTAAATTCTGAGTTTGAGCGCAAATTCGACGTTCCAAGCTCATACTTTGGGGGTGGATACGTTTTCAGAATTAGTTTTTTAAAATTATTAAATAACGACAACGAAAAATAAAGTAAAAATTATACAGTAATCTAAGTTGATGGTTAGGAACATATTTCTTAAAAGAAATTTGTCAATAAATCAAGGCTAAAATCGATTAATTCGTTTTCATTTTAGTATTGAATTTCTTATTTTCTTTGAATTTATTCGCAGAATTCTTCTAATTCTTAAAATGTCGTCTTTTCAATAATAAATCTATAAAATCTGCAGAAAATCTTTGTGAATTATAAGAAAACCAGAATAATTCGATGATAAGATTAATTTTTTTTTCTCAACAAGTATGAGTATGAGTTTTGAACGTCGAATTTGCACCCAAACTCAGGATTTACAGATCTTTGAAAAGTTTAATATATCTCAAATTAATCCGAAAGAAGTTTTCCACAACTACCTTACATACCGGTCAATCCCTTACATAAACATCAAAACGGCTGAACTTACAATAACGGGGAAACTTACATAACCCCAGAGAAGGATTTTGGTGGTAAAAAAATTGTCTGGAAAAAATTCTATGACGTCTTCAAATTTTTAAAGCTAAAATTTTGACTAAAGAAAGGGCGCGAAGTGAACTGTAAAGGAAACATATTTTTTATACGGTGATAACTAGAAAACTCTGGAATAAGAAATAGACTTTTAAACTAAAGTTATGACTTTAAATAGTCCAATGATTATGAAGCTCAGCAATTGTGCAGTGTAAACAGACCCATTTCACATGTCATATATCAAGACTCAGAGTGACATAATAATTTCTTTAAAGTTACTACAGTGGTAATCCATTGTATCAATACAATGAAGACGACTTTTTTATGTTTAAAAGCTTGGTATAAATTAAAATTTTAATTTTAATTATAATAATATAATCTTCATTGTGTTGATATAATCGCCTACAACTGAAGTAAATTTATTTGCTTTGTAACAAAATCAAAAACATTTTAGTATTGCTTCAATGTCGTCTTCCTTTTCTACAGTTTTTTGGTTATCACTGTAAGTTGTTTTAATTAGATAAGTCCATTTTAAATTGGTCTTTTTTGGCCAGTCACTGTAACACACAGCACACTGTACATTTAGTAATAGTATTTTCTAACCCTAATTTTTGTGTAAATACCTGAGCGGAATACCTAGATCTAGCCCATCAGCTGCTAACTGCCGTATACAAGATAAGTTTGATTTGTTTACCGCTAGATGTAGTTGGGTTAGCTGTGTTAACAGCTGCTGTTCACTTACACCACCAACCTTGGCATAATTTTTAATTACAATAATAAATTGACGCTGAAAGAAGACATGATGAAAAAGCATCTTAGTTTTTAAATGTCTGATTGAATTAACTCTTTTTATTTTATGAAAAGGGTAAAAGACTGTAAAGATGTGTTTATAATGTCTCCACAAGATAAACAGTGAAGAAGGACAAGTTTACTCTGTTTGTATTCTGCAATTTTCTTGTTTTACTAAGTACAATTGTATGCAGTCAAAGCATAAACAAACAATTGTGAACATAGCAGACGAAACTCTTACAGATTACAGCTTTCTCCATAGGTATCACTATACTAAATCAAAGAATGATATAAAAAGACGATATCGAATTCGTCGCTGAATTCCCATGTTTATTGGGACACCCTGTACAATGCACTTAAAAAGACGATTTTTTGTCCGCTAGGTGTCTCTCCCACATGGCACCATGCAAAAACATCGAGAGCAGAGACACCTGACAGTCAAGTAATCGTCGTTTAAATTGCATTATATATGAAACAAATAAAAAAATATTATAAATATAACTAATTACAAATGCGCCGAAAATAATGCGATGATTATAGGTTGTAATATCTGAATGAATTGTTTGGAATTAAATTGATTTTTTAAGATCTGAGTCGAATGCTGCATTTTCTGAATTTATGTGAATACTATGTTCTTCGGTGTGAGTCGTTTTTAACAATTTTTTCCCTATAGACGTAACAGATATAAATAAGATTAGTAGCGATCCCCATCGAATATTTTTCGACGTAAGCCTATACCCCCTTTTTATTTTTCACTAACACTCCCTTTAAGTATAAAGAAGTAACGAAAGAGAAAGGAGAAATTTTCTAATCTATCTTCAAATCAAAAACTGTTAAAAACAAATATTGCAAGAACACGAAACTATTGAATGAAAAAAACAAGTCAGCTGGTATAATTATAGAACGGTTAATACAGTTCGATGGTTCTAACTCAGGATCAAAAATTAAAGAGACTGTAACCCAAGGAGTATGAAAGGATGAGGATGCATATGAGGATGAATTTGAGAATAAGTATGAGGATAAGGATGAGTATGAGAATGAGGATAAGGATGAGGATGAGGATGAGGATGAGAATAAGGATGAGGAAAAGGATGAGTAGGAGGATGAGGATGAGGATGAGGATAAAGATGAGGATGAGGATGAATACCTGTTGCTCTAAGTATCTCCAGTTGAACCTGGGAGAGACGGATAGTGAGAACTCTGTGCTGGAGTTAGAGGAGGTGTGGGTGCGGGGGGAGAAGGAGGGGGAGAGGGGGGACACCTTCTCGCCTGGAGGGAGGGGCATCAGGGGCCCTGGTGGAGGGGGGTATAGGTCCTTCTTCAGGGGTAATTTTGTATTGTCTGGAATATTTGGAGATACATTACTACTTGAATTAACAGTTATTGCAATATAAGCATAATTTAAAAAAATCGCTGAATTCCACTTGTGGTTTCTCGTATTAACTTTTCTCTTTTACCCTGGTTTTTCTTCTGCATTGCTTGTAATTCCTTGTGTAACTATGTAATCCTTTTTATTAAATTGTCCCTATTTTTCCATATAGCCGGTATCCCCTGTATTTCCTGTATTCCTGTATCCCCTGAATCGCCTGTGTTCCTGTATCCCCTGTATCTCCTGCATAACCTGTAACTCCTGCATTCCCTGTATTTCTGTATCCCCTGAATCCCCTGTTTCTCCTGTATCCCTTGTATCTTCTGCATAACCTGTATCTCCTGTATTCTCCTGTATACTCCTGTATCCCTGTACCACTTGTATCCCTTTATCCCTGTATCCTCTGTATCTCATGTATCCCCTGTATCTCCTGTATCTCCTTTATCCCTGTATCCCCTGTATCCCTTGTATCTCCTGTATTCTCATCTATTCTCCTGTANCTAACTCCCCGTTTTTATGCAAGTTTATTTTCAGTGGAAATTCAGATAATTAGTAAACACGAACTACATTAGGGACACTTAAAGGGAGTGTATACATAACTTCAAGTAACCTAAAGAACTACATTAGGGACACTTAACGGGAGTGTAGACATAACTTCAAGTAACCTAAAGACCTACATTAGGGACACTTAAAGGGACTGTATACATAACTTCAAGTAACCTAAAGAACTTCATTAGGGACACTTAAATGGACTGTAGGCATAACTTCAAGTAACCTAAAGAACTACATTAGGGACACTTAAAGGGAGTGTAGACATAACTTCAAGTAGCCCAAAGAACTACATTAATTTACATTAACTGCGGCATTTACTACATGCATCTCTTTAAATAAAGAGGTTCCTTGAAATTATGTTGACAGTCCCTTTAAGTGACCAAACAAAGATGGTAAAATTGGAGAAGCAAATTGAAAAAGCTCGAAAAGAAAATCCGCCAAATTTCAAAATTTGAAAATGATTTAAAATGGGCGACTTTCAAAGCAACAGTTAAAAGTTAAGATTATTTAGAGAAAAGGGGTGCGAAGCTTATTGTTGTATATGAATAAAAATTCTAAAAGGAGATATATTTCACTCCAAAAAGACCAAACTACAAAAGACTCATTCTCTGATATTCAACGATCTACAGTAAACATAATTTATTAAACGTGAAAAAAACACAAACTGAGTGAATACTATACTAATGATAAATATTATTGAAGATGAGAAGACAGAGCTGCAGATCTCTGGTATTGATTCTCGTACTTCAAGCTGAGATGGTTGATCACCAACTAACTCCTCTCCCCAGCATCAGTAAACCTGCCGGGTTGAGTTGGGAATCCCTAGCTTTATCAAACCCTATGGGTCAACGTCTGTTCTACCCTCGATGCTAGCACCCAAAACCAGCGTCAGGTGGATTGGATCAGGTTTTAAGCTTGGCATCATTCTTTTTATAACTATTTACAAACAGGGTGGCTATTTATATTTCGTAGAGGATCGATAAAAGATCATGAGATTTCTCACATCTACTACACTATTATTCAATATTTGTAGAAGAGATTAAAGTCAAATATACGATTGTTACCAAAATTAATTTTTAATATTTTTTTTTTTTCCCACTTAAAATAATTTACTCGATCTTACTCAGCGAATGCAATCCCCACCAAACCATATACCTTTTAGTTTAATGGAACAGTCTATGTAAGCTCAGCGGGAATAGAAAATATTATTATTTATGTTTATCTAACTCCCCGCCTAAATTGTAATTTATAAAGTAATGGATTTGCAAATGGATTAAAAAAATTTAGCAGACACCCTCGCACATCCCAAGTTAAATTCAGGTATTTAGAAGTCAGAGAAATCTATCAATATTTTAAATATAGGAGCCATGAAATGTCGAAACCTCATTTTTACATTAAATAAATTTTGTCCTGCTTTTTAAAGGTCCAAAATCCTTTAAAATCGTTACAACACGAACCAAGCCATTCTTATCTTTCTGTACTGCATACTTTATATTTTGTACTGTATTTTCATCTTTGTGTACTGCATTGTTGATATTTTGTATTATATTCCAACCTTTGTGTACTGAATTGGTTATATTTTGTACTGTATTTTCATATTTCTGTACTGCTTAGTTTATATTTTGTATTGTAGTCCAACCTTTGTGTACTGCATAGTTTATGTTTTGTACTGTATTTTCATCTTTGTGTACTGCATACTTTATATTTTGTACTTTATTTTCATCTTTGTGTACTGCATTGTTTATATTTTGTACTGTATTTTCATCTTTGTGTACTGCATACTTTATATTTTGTACTGTATTTTCATCTTTGTGTACGGCATTGTTTATATTTTGTTCTGCATTTTCATTTTTGTGTACTGCATACTTCATATTTTGTATTGTATTCTCAATTTCTTCTTTGTGTAGTGTATTGTTTATTTTTGTATTTTATTCCAACCTTTATTTACTGCATTGTTTATATTTTGTATTGTATTCCAACCTTTATGTACTGCATTGTTTATATTTTGTATTGTATTCCAACCTTTATGTACTGCATTATTTATATTTTGTATTGTATTCCAACCTTTATGTACTGCATTGTTTATATTTTGTATTGTATTCCAGCCTTTGTGTACTGCATTATTTATATTTTGTATTGTATTCCAACCTTTATGTACTGCATTGTTTATATTTTGTATTGTATTCCAACCCTTACGTGCTGTATTGTTTATATTTTGTATTGTATTTCAACCTTTGTGTACTGCATTGTTTATACTTTGTAATGTATTCCAACCTTTGTGTACTGCATTGTTTATATTTTGTATTGTATTCCAACCTTTGTGTAGTGTATTGTTTATATTTTGTATTGTATTCCAACCTTTGTGTAGTGTATTGTTTATATTTTGTATTGTATTCCAACCTTTGTGTACTGTATTTCTAGAAGAAAACTCGTGTGATGATCTGGGGCTTCTAAACAAGAATCGTTTCATGATTAAAACGAAAAAATCCAATTTCAACAAAAAATTCTAACTTGGAGAACAAGCGGTGGGGAGGGGAGGAGGGTTATGAAAACCTGAACAGGGCGCGGTAAACTAGATGTCCTTGTTAAAAGTCCCGGGAGTCTGAACTTTAGAACCCATTTTCACCCAGTAATTGTAGAATTTTTGTATTTACTATTTTATACATTTTGTTTGGCTCAGAAAATATGCATACTATGAAAAAAGAAGGGAAACTAAAGAATTGATTTTTTAAAAATTCTCAATTCAATTATTTTAACTTAAATATTCTATTAAAACTTTATTTTATAGAAACCTTTTCAGTATGTGTGTTTCAGACAGTCTAAGCTTTTAAAGGAGTGACCGGCAATGTATGATAGATAGAATTAAACGGAGAATGTAGTATTGTGGGGACATTTTTTTAGGATCCATTTGAGACATATAAAACGTTTTAAAGATGTAAACTTACTGAGTTTGAACACAAAGTCGACGTTCAAAATCATTGCTTTGGGTGGTTACGTTTTGAGAATCAATTTTTAAAAATTATTAAATAACGACGACGAAAAATTATTTTAAAAATCTACAGTAAACTAATTTTATGTTTAGGAACAGATTTCTCAATAGAAATTTGTCAATGAATCAATGTTAGAATCAATTATTTCTTTTTCATCTTGAGACATTACAGAAACTAATAACTGAATAAGATTACTTATTTTCGATGATAAGAGTTAAGTTTTATTTTCTCAACCTTTGTTGTCGTTTTTTAATGATTTAAAAAAAATCGATTCTCAAAACGTAACCACCCAAATAAATGATTTTGAAAGCCGACTTTGAGCTCAAACTTAGAAATTATACATCATTAAAAGGTAAATATGTCTCAAATGAATCCTAACAAATTTTCCACAATACTATATTCTCAGTTCAACCACTATACATTGCCGGTCACTCCCTTAAAGGGAAAATTGACCCATCCTAATAATGCAGCCTCCGTTAGTTTTATAAAACGTGCGGGTCGAAGAAACAATTAAAGATAAACGGATTGAAAAGAGTCTTGTGAACTTCAAATTATGATTTAATTGAACTTGATGTACATTAGGTAGTCTAGACTGAATGGTACGAATGAATACATATACAGTACAATTACACTGAACCGATAAATCCTTCAACCGGTTCTGATTATGCAACGATGAGCCATGTGAATGAATTTTCGTAGATAAAAATTGAAAAAGAAAAAAGGACTCCCCTAATTTTATCAACCTCTTTTAGTGTTCTAGAAGAGGGGGCTCTAGAACAACGAAAATTCAATTAATTAACTAAAATATTAAAATTCCAGCCCGAATTTCCATTAGGCTGCTTCTTGATAAATCATTCATTTTTTAGATTAAAGGCGGATCAATAGGTACTATAAAGCCAAGTTTTAGTCGGGTTTAGGCATTTAAAATTTCGGCTCACTTTACATTTCATTCAAAATATGTAAACTAAATGTTTGTTTGTTTTTCTGGTTGTATCAAATAAACGTCAAAACGGCTGAACCTAACGGCTCAAATTTTGTGTTGGACCTCACATGATTCCAAAAGTTTTTGATTGTGTGTAAAATTTTGAAAATGCGCGATAAAAATATTATCAAATTCGGGAGCTTTTTAGTTTGTTATTGTTTTATATTGTACAAAAAATTATGCTTATAGAAATAGCAACAATAAAAAATTGAAATAGGATATTCTCTAGTTTCATAGATTATTAACCACTAACCTAAATGTCGTCGTCCTTGTAGAACCTGCCCAGGTATTGTTTGACCAGCCTCCTTCCTTCAAATGTAAATTATTCTACGTACAATTTTACAATAAGAGAGGGGGGGGGATATCACTGCCCCCTAATTTTTTTGTTCCCTGAAAATGCCTGCCTCTCTTTTTTTCAACCCCTTATTTTTTTACCCAATCTACAGGGTTATCAAAAAAGGATGAGACTTCAAATACGACTGTACGGTATTTATATTTATTTCCTTATTTTCATTTCCTGCAATTATATTTCTTTCTTTGTCAAAACATTAAATAAAACACTTAAAGAGTACTTTGATGGGAAACCCTGTACCTGCTGTTTCTGCTGTTTTTGTAACGTGGTTTCCAGATTTTCTATCCTTGTTGTAAGGAAATCCTAGCTGTACCTGCTGTTTCTGCTGTTTTTTAACGCGGTTTCCAGATTTTCTAGCCTTGTTGTAAGGAAATCCTAGCTGTACCTGCTGTACATGCTGTTTTTTAACGCGGTTTCCAGACTGTTTAGCCCTGTTGTAAGCAAATGCCGGCCTAAATTAAAGAGTTTTAATAAAAAATTTGAATAATAAATAAAGCCGACAAATATTATAAAATAAACAGAAGTTTCAAAAAGATACTTTACCTTGAGTAAACGTTGGATACTCTTTGAAGATCTTCCAGAGACAATCTTAAAAGGAGTGTTCGCGAAAAATGAAAGAAAGTATAGGCTTAATGCGATAAAAAAGCGCTTTTGATCGCTACTATTCTCACTTCTATCTGTTGCGTCTATAAGGAGAAAATTGTTAAAAATTAAAAATCCTGAAAATCTGCTAAAACTATTTTTGAATAATCAGAGATTATAGAAACTAATAATTGAATAAGATTACTTATTTTCGATGATTAGATTAGATTTTATTTTCTCAACCTGTTCCTAAACAACTAATTAGTTTACTGTAGAGACATTCGTATATATATATATATTGTCTATAGCCGTCCAAACGGCTGGACCGATTGGGCTGAAATTTTTTTGTGGACAGTCATGGGTTATAGGCAAAAAAATCAAATTGAGTTTGATGTCGTCTCCCTATTCCACTGTTCTGTTGATCCCATTGTCGCAAAAAAGGGGAAAATTAAGTTCTTATTTATAAATAAAAAAGTCTTACTTAAATGGTTGGCTTTAAAACGTAAATACTGAGAAAATACTTGATATATGATTGGTCACCATTTAAATCATTATTTCTTATATCTAACAATTTCAAATAAAATGAAAATTTTTTGCAAAAGAATAAATGTTAAATATGTTATGAGAATGACCTGAAGAATGAAGACTGGACTGTATCCATGTTTTGTTTAAAAGGAGAATACACTTCCTGGGTTCCCTGCGAGAATAATAAAACAAATAATAATGATATTGTAATAAATAAATTTTTTAATAAAAAATAATAATAATGATCACAAAAATTATAATAATAATAATATTAATAATGATTATTATTATAATAAGAACAACAATTTTAGCATAAATAATGATAAAAAAATGCAGAAAATGAGCACAATATGTTTAAATTTGTATATCAATTCTAATGCAAAAATATTTTAAAAGTTAATATATAACATTTTGATACTTTATAAACGTTAACAGTCATCGTTGTATTATCGTATTAATGCATATACTATTCAAATTAACATCCTCTTTATCATTGTATTATCGTATATATCAATACAATGATAACAAATTACGATATTAATTTTAAAATGCTACAAAGCTTTTAAACAGCAAGAATACACATAACACGCACCTCTGGCCCTTCAGTAAAAGTAAATTCAACCTATATAAAGCATAAAGTCTGACCTAGCCAACCTTGTTGCACCAGCTAGTCCTGTTCATAGAGCTAGGTACAGTACAAACTGGTACCGGAAAGGTTGACCCGGCTCGGAGATTCAAATGTAATACGGCTGCCCGTGATAAACATGGAACCAAAACGAGGCTTTTCTTAGTTTAATTGTAAACTTGTAATTTGAAAAATGTTAGAAATAAAAAATTTATTTAAAAAGTGGTCTTCACTGTACTGAAAATGGTAATGTCCGGGTTTATTTATGTTATTTATGTAATATAAAAAATGTTGATAAATGTGAAAAATTACAACCTGCCAATAATAAACATCCATAATTTTGTTTTCTTTATCTACAATCTTTTCTAAAATAAAATTTTAAAACTTTTTTCAGAAGAGTTGGGACAAGGGACAAGGATGGAAGAAGTGGGACAAGGGACAAAGATGGAAGTAGTGGGACAAAGGACAAGGATGGAAGAAGTGGGACAAGAGACAAGGATAGAAGAATTGGGACAAGGGACATGGATGGAAGAAGTGGAACAAAAGACATGGATAGAGGTAGTGGGAAAAGGGACAAGGATGGAAGAAGTGGGACAAGGGACAAGGATTGAAGTAGTGGGACAAGAGACAAGGATGGAAGAAGTGGGACAAGAGACAAGGATGGATGGAAGAAGTGGGACAAGAGACAAGGATGGAAGAAGTGGGACAAGGGACAAGGATGGAAGAAGTGGGACAAGGGACAAGGATGGAAGAAGTGAGACAAGGGAAAAGGATGGAAGAAGTGGGACAAGGGACAAGGATGGAAGAAGTGTCAAGCAAGACAGAAGTTAGACCACTGAGGTTCTTGTATTGAAAAGTGCAGAGGCTTTATTTATAATATTAGAACTTTGAAATGTCAAACACGAAATTTATGAAGAATAGAATAAGTTTCAGAATCAGTAAATATATAATACAGAACATTTGTAAATAATTTACACTATACAGTGTCTTCTATATTTATGTTGAAGAATATACATAATGCATACACTGTTATATACAGTACACTGTATTCTTTGATAACTGACACTGACACTGTACACTGACACTGTACACTGAAACTGTACACTGACACTGTATACTAAAACTGTACACTGACACTGACACTATATACACTGCACACTATACACTGTACAGTACACTGCACACTATACTCTTTATTCTATTGTTACAATCTAGAAGATTATTTAGAGTCTACTGAATACTACTGAAGGTCAGTGGCATAGAAAACAATCTGAAAAACCAGGGGAAAATATAATCTTTTACTAATATATAAAAAGTATATAAAAGTACACTGACGAAAAACAGGGGTTATTATCCAAATAAAGTGTAGTTTAAAATTAACAAACAAATGTCACTACAAAAAATAAAAACAATCCAATGTGAAAAAAGAAATTGTTCGTATTTGGTTTTGTTGTTGTTGCTTAAATGGATTATATTATTTAAAGTAGTTTATTTTTATTTTGTAAAGTAGCTTGAGCATTTTATCGGGCATGGAACGATTCAATAGAAATATGCTTAACCCTTGATTTCGTGGAAAAGTTTTTATGCAACATTTTGGAGTAATTAAGTTGTAAAGTTGCATAGAAACAGTGATATAAACCATAAGAATATATTAATGAGTAAAACTTCTAAAATAGTTTTAGTTTAGTTTTTGTGTAAACATTCATTTTTAAAATTTATATAAAAAAGACAATTGTTTGATCCAACCATATTTTATAATTTTCTTTAAGTAACTATTTAACCCCTTTTTCTTGTAACTCTCCCATTAACCTTTGGTATTGGATTTCAGTAAAATCGAATTTCTCACAAAAAAGTTTGCCAGTATTACATATTTCATTTTGCCAAAGTTTAGATTATATAGCATACAAACCATTAACATAGGGTAGAATTGTACAATATCAAATCAAAGGAATTATTATTTAACAATTAAAGAAGTACAGACACAGTACAAACAGTACAATGCTACCAGGCCCGTAGCTAGGAATTTGTAAAGGGGGGCATACATTTTGTTTGACCTGAAAAGCTCAAAAATGCAAAAAAACTAGATTTTTAACTTATAAAACATTATAGTTTATTGAGACAAATTGCCTTTTTTGCATTATGGTTTTTTTCCCTTAAGTGCTATAAAAGAGGTATTTGCATCAAAACAAAACAAAAACCTGAAGGTATAAGAAGTAGAGATTTATTAATAAATATATTCATTGATTCAATTGTGTTGTTAATAATATTAATATGTCTAAATACTAAAAAGATTCATATTTTTGTTAAAACTATGTCCAAGTAAAAGTTAATAATGTTGCTCAGAATGCGATAATAACTATTTATCTATTCATTACAGGGAGGGAGACATATAGTGATGCAATAAATATAAGAGGAGATATTACATTGCCAAGGCTTCCCAAGACCTTGTCGGGTTTTCACTCCTGAAGCATCACGAGCGTAGCGAGGGATGCTTTCAGACCCAACATGGTCGAGGGAAGCCAAGGCAATGTAATATTCCTTCCAATGTTTTTTGCATCCATAGTTGCCTCACGTGAATAATAAGATATATGTATTTAAACAAATTTGATGGAGATTTTTACACTTTTTAGTAAAATATAATATTTTAATTTGCATCAAAATCTACCTTTTTCAGGTTTTAAAACTGTAAAATCTATTTAGTTTTGTAACACATATTTTTCAGTTAAGAAATCAAATCTAATTAATGTTTTCGGAGTTGTAAACCCGCAACTTATCATGGGCTTGGCAGAAAAATTCGCAATTAATAAGATTGCATCCCTGATTTTAGGGTTTCAATTCAATGTAAATATCAGGAACAATTTGGTTCAAAGTTGGAAAACTAATACAGTTGACAAAAATGAGATTTTATGCCAATTTTCTCTCTTGTTTTCTTCTTTCTTTTACTTATATTTCCTAATTTTCATTTTTTCATTTTCCTTTTTTTCTCAGATATTGTGCCCTTCCACCCCCTTCGGAGGTAAATTGGGGGGGGGGCATGCGCCGCTCCCCCCCCCATTGAATTGTGAATTGTTAACCATACCTGTTTAGTTTGAACTGTGCATGACGAATGTAATATTTGACCTGAATGATATATCTATTTATTTGTAGTGTTTGCAGTGTAAGTGTATTCAGGAGAAAACAATCTAAACCTGTCAATTTCTCAATTCTAAACTAAATAAATATTATTATAATAAAAAAGTTTTTTTTTTCGAATAAAATGATTTATTCAAACAAATAAATAATATTTCAAAAAATATTTTTTCAAGTTAAAACTATAAAATTCGCTTTATCCTTGTTTGAAAATATAAACAAACGCAGAAACGCAAATTTTTGTATTTTTTGATATTACCATTTTAGAATATTGGTTTAATGAAAATGAAAATAATCTTCATTTTTATGATGAATATTACATAATTTTAAAAATATTTCTTCATCATTTTTTTTCGATTCATATCTTTGTTAGATTTTGGCAATTTCTCAGTTTTTGAACTGTTTTTCCCTGAAGTTATTCACTCATTTATTGTTTAATTTTGAGTGAGGTCAGATGAGTCTGTTGACTTTTAGATGACGTAATAACATCTTATCAAATGAAGATAAAATAAAAGTTATAAGAACTTGAACATCTTGGGTCAACTTGATATCACTATATTTTGAATATCTAATATAAAATCTGCTATCTGTATATAACAGTAAATTATTAGTACGAAACAAATTAGATATCCATGCTTATTTTCTTAATTTGTGCTTTTTCTGCTCAAGGGAAACTTGTACTGTTCTTGCTTATCAGAAATAAACACCTAGAGAAACGACGATGTTTTCCGCATTTGTCATCAAATAAAAGTTTCAAGGGTACCGTTGTAAATCGGACATTGCCATCTTTGCATGGAGGGTCCCTTCAAATTACGTTTACCGTCCCTTTAGTACAGTCCCTTTCTTACAGTCCCTATAGTACATTCCCTTACAGTCCCTTTAGTACAGTCCCTTACAGTCCCTTTAGTACAGTCCCTTTAGTACCTTTCCTTTAGTACTTTCCCTTAAAGTCCCTTTAATACAGTCCCTTTTGTACAGTACCTTTAGTACAGTCCCTTTAGTACAGTATCTTTAGTACAGTCCATTTAGTGCAGTCCCTTTACTACAGTCCCTTTAGTACAGTCCCTTTAGTACAGTCCCTTTAGTACAGTCCTTTTAGTACAGTCCCTTTAATACAGTCCCTTTAGTTTTAGTACAGTCCCTTTAGTTTTAGTACAGTCACTTTAGTAAAGTACCTTCAGTACAGTCCCTTACAGTCCTTTTAGTACAGTCCCTTTAGTACAGTCCCTTTAGTCCCTTTAGTACAGTCCCTTTAGTTTAGTCCCTTTAGTACAGTTCCTTTAGTACAGTCCCTTTAGTACAGTCCCTTTAGTACAATCCCTCTAGTACAGTCTCTTTAGTACAGTCCCTTTAGTACAACAGTTTTTTTTGTTTTTCATTGTTCAACATCGATTGATAAAAACTTATGCATAGATTGAAAGTTTCCTGCTTCAGAAACATTGGAGAGATCATGCGAATAAATCACTTTATTATGTGAATGATTGACATTAATGATCAGATTAAGGTTACAATAGTACAATTGTTAATACGACATGCCCCTCGAATCTCGATTAAATAGAGGTTTACTTCAAATGACGAATTCACAGTTCTTTTAAGATAATATTTTTTCCAAAAGGTTTGAAGTCGAGCAATATTTGAATTGGTGATAAATCAACCGACACAAGATATAGATTTGTGGAGATTAGGAAGATATCCAATTTTGGTAAACCATTTTTTTAAACCGGTTTCAACTTGACTTAGAATACAAATACAGAGTGTCCCAATATAAACCTACCGAAGATAAAAGCGGGACTGTAAGCGGGATTTCAAGTCATGCCCTCAATGATTTGAAGGATGACGATGCCGTATTCACAATGGTACCCAATTAAAACCTTTATCTGATCAATAATGTGGAAGCTGTTGTCATTATTCTAGGTTTAAAAGGGTTAAATCCTTTATGTTTTCCTGCTGTATAGATATGCGCAATTCACTTTTTTAGAGAAACAACATTTTGAAAAAATAAATTTTCAAAATCATAAACAATGATATATAATAAATACTTGTCCAATTCAGCTTTTCAGTTAGAAAAATAAGAATGTCATATTCATCCTTGATCAGGTTTAACAGGTTTAACGGGTACAAGAAACTCTATCTTTCTAGGTTCACATACAAAGAAATTACATGTAAAGTCCAATAAACCTCAAATTGCTCATTTCCCCCTTTTTTGGCATTTAACCCTATCCCTGCTGGGGTACTTGAAAACCAGGATATGCTGGGGGGGGGCCAATTTGACCCCCCCTCTAAATCCCATGTCTTATGTTCGAATATGACAAATGATACATCATTAGAAAGCTCTTGTGCTCTACTTTTAGAATCTGCAAAAAAATTTGCAAATTTGCAATAATTGATTTTTTTATCGCAAAATCCAGTTATATAGTAAAAATGTTTGCAAAAAATTTTTTTTCCAAAAAATGAAAAATTATACATATTTGAAAAGCCCTTGACCATGCCATTTCAAATATGCAAAAATATTTGCAAAATTTTAAATAACCTGATTTTTAATCAAGAAAATCTAAAAATGTGCAAATTTCCTTAGACAGGTTGTTTGCAAAAAATTTGCAATTTTTTTCGCAAAACTTGTGCAATCCGTTTCCTTATGTCATAAGCTTTCCAAAAAGCTAAATTTTATCAAAATCTGACAAGTGAAAGTGGGTCAAAACAAAGATTTAGTTTGTTACAGGCAAAAGCAGTCATTCAGGCAGTGTGCCTGAGGCCTCAGGCAGTTAGTATTAAAGCCCGGTTTTAGGCCTAAAGGGAGGGCTTTGGGTATGTAAGAAAAATTTCAACAGCCTCAGACCAATACTTTTTGAATTATGTAAAAAAAAACTACAGGGGGGGGGTCAATTTGACCCCCCCCCCTCACCAGGAATAGGGTTAACTTCAAAGGTCCATTTTTTTATTTCACCTATCATTATAAATCATCCAACTATAAATGATATGATAATAAAAATTTTAATATTTTCTTGACACACTGTTTTTGGTTGATGAATGAATTTTAGGCAGTTAAGATTTGATTGTCAGGCCATGAAGACCTGGGCTTTTTGCTTTTTCCTGCTTCAAGGGTAAACTAATACATTTGGATCTATTTTGGACCTTTTGTTGGAGTTAAAAGTTTTGAGCTCCTGTGTTCAAATTAATCTCACTATCCTCAAATTTACATATTTTAAAAAGGTTTATCTTGACTCTCTTGATGAACCTTTCTGAAAACAGAATTTTCAATAATCATGGTTTCATTCTTTTATCTTAGATTATTTAAATACTAACAATTATTTTAATAATTGCTACTCTTCAATTTGACAATTTTTTTTTTAGTATTTTTATGTCTGTGATATTTGTTATGTTCTTGTCTGGTACTTAATTGTAGAGGAAAAAATAATGAATAAAAAATAGATTAATAAATTGATAAACCCCCCCCCCCNTAAAGAAAATAATGGGAAAAAATTATTTTTCATCAATTAGGCAAGAATAGCATATTGTTAGCAATTTCTTGGAATCAATTAGAAATAAACTTTCAAACCATAATAAAAAAACATCATTAAAATTATTTGTTTCTCTCCATTATAGACAAGAATCAAACCCTGTTAGAGAATTCTTGGAATCGGATAGAAATGTAAACATTCTCAAAAAAAAAATGAAAAGCATCATTAAAGGGAGTGACCGGCTATGTAAGGTAGTTGAACTGAGTATGCAGTGTTGTGGAAAGCTTCTTTCTGATTCATTTGAGACATATTAAACTTTTTAAGATCTGTAAATCCTTAGCTTGAGCGCAAATTCGATGTTCAAAACTCCTACTTAGGGCTTGGATACGTATTCAGAATTAGTTTTTTTTAATTAGTAAATAACGACGACATAAAATGTAAAAAAGTTCTACAATAAACTACAGACGTCATGTTTAGGAACATGTTGAGACTACATTTGAAGAATTTGAAGAAATCTGCGAATAAATTCGAAGAAAATTAGAAATTCAATATAATAATGAAAACGAAATAATCGATTTTAGCATTGATTTTTTGACAAATTTCTTTTGAGAAATATGTTCCTAACCGTCTAATTAGATTACTGTATAATTTTTACTTTATTTTTCGTTGTCTTTATTTAATAATTGAAAAAAACTAATTCTGATAACGTATCCACCCCCAAAGTATGAGTTTTGAACGTCGAATTTGCGCTCAAACTCAGGATTTACAGATCTTTAAAAAGTTTAATATGTCTCAAATGAATCCAAAAGAAGTTTTCCACAACACTGCATACTCAGTTCAACTACCTTACATAGCCGGTCACTCCCTTTAAAACAATTTTTTCTCCGTTAGACAAGAATCAAGAGAATTCTTGGAATCGGATAGAATTTTAAACATTTTAATGATTTTGATGATTTTTGTAATGATTATAATTTATCTAGAGTGACGTGTAAGAAATGGATGTTGGTTGGAGGATTACTAGGTGGCGACGATGCCACTGATGCGGTTCCCACAAATCAGGTTTAAAAGGGACTAGAATCGTTATTGCAAGTGATACTTCATGCAAAGATGGCAATGTCCGATTCACAACGATACGTTTCCTTGTAACCTTAATCTGATCAAAACTGTGGAAGATACTATCGTTTTTCCAACTTGAAAAGTGTTTATTTCTGTGCGTTTCTCCACTGCTTCTTATAAACAAAAAATGCGTATGTCGCTTTCGCAGAAAAACTGCAAATGGAAATAAACATTCTAAAGAAAAAAAAAATGATAACTAATCAGACAAAGAGCTGTCAAGGGTTCCCTTGTAAATCGGGCATTGTCACCTTTGCATGGAGGAACACTTGAAATTACGCTTACAGTCCCTTTAAAGAGATTTTCTAATCCCTATAACTTTGAATTCTGTTAAATCAATAATTTAAGTTTGAAATATCAAGAGCATACCACATTATGTTGCAAAGATATAAGGTTTAGACTATTTGAGTTTGTGACAAAGTCTCAAATTCTTGCTTTTATTTAAAGTTTATTTTGAAAATTGAAAATTGCAACTTTATTTTATACTTTTATAAATCATACTTAAAATTGTGGTCAAAAATTGACATACAGTTTTTGGCATTAACATCAATACAATGAAGACGATGTTTCTATTTAAGCTTTTAAATCAGAAGTATACTAGTAAACAAAGAGAAGCTAAAGCTGTTAATTGACGGCATAGATTACATAGAATAACAGATAGGACACTAGATGTCGTCTTTTCAAGATTAAGGGGTTTTTCGTTCACAATAACCCTGAGGCAGACGCCCAAAGGAGTTACGCGCATGCGACGAACAATAAAAAGATCATAGAGAGAGAGCCTGTTCTACGTCAACTGCGCGTAACTCCTTTGGACTTCTGCCTCAGGGTTATTGTGAACGAAAACCCCCTAAATCTTGAAAGAGTACATCTAGTGTCTTTTCTGTTATTTTAATTAATGTATGATTGACGGCGGTTCCTTGTTTCCATGTTTATGTGTATCAATGAGCTGTTAGAAAGCTTGGTAGAAACCAAAATTGAAATCGAAAATCTTCTTCATTGTATTGATATATGCGACGATGACTGTTTAGTATTATATTTGTACCACTGTTTATTGTTAGGTTGAATTGCTTGAACTGCAAAATGAAGGACAATCTGATAACCCGGGCCAGGTAAAAAAGAAATAAAATAAAATTAGGTTGTAAGAAACGTTTAGTTAATACAACGTTTCTTATCGAACATTTTTTTATATCTATCTTAAAACGAAACGAAAAAACAGTCTTGATTGCAAGTTGTTAAATACTATGATGAAAAAACAGTCTTGATTGCAAGTTGTTAAATACTGTGATGAAAAAACAGTCTTGATTGCAAGTTGTTAAATACTGTGATGAAAAAAATAATAACGTCTCGATGAATCGAAACATAAGAAAAGTAGCATTTTTGTAAATCTTCTAAAAGTAATTAAAATATTTTAAATTGGAAAAGTTATGATGAAAGGTTACATGAAATATTCTTTGCACTGAAATTGACTGAAACGTAAAAAAATGTCTAATTTACGTTTTATTTAATCAAAAGGTTTGTCACCTTTCAGTTTTCAAATCAAGTGGAAGTTAACGTTAGATAATTGTGGTTATATTTCTAAACCTTTAACGCAACATTGGGACAGTTAATTTAAAACAGGGAATGCACAAGCGTAACGGAGCTTACTTTTTTCACCAAAATTTACTAAAGCTTATCGTTGTATAAGGTATTCAAGTGCACAAAATTCATTACGTAGCGTTGGTCTATGTCGTAAAATTTCATAATGTGCAACGTAACGTTTCAACGTTTTATACTTTTGATGAGCACTATCGTAACAAAAGCTGAAATTAGAAAAAAAGCAAAACGTTGAAATCTCTTGGTGCAAATATTACATTGACATAATGTTATCCATCATAAAATCATACAAACGAACAAACGTGACATCCTTGTAACATCTGATTTGCTGGATTTATAAAATTAAAATGTTTAGCTAATTTTAGAAACAATTATGTTCAGTAAAGAAAAGCTAATTTTAGAAACAATTATGTTCAGTAAAGAAATTTAAACACAACGTAAATTTTTGACATTTTTAACTGTCCATATGTCAGACTAATTTTTAGAGATGAATATGTTCATCGTTTTTGCGAACAATGCAAAAAATAATTTCGCGAACGATTATGTCGTTAGGAAATAAAGCGGACTAACGACTTGGATCGTTCAGAGAAATTAAAGACTATCGTTTTATATAAACGAACAAAACAATAACAAAAATGAATAAACTAAATCATTCGAACAATCTTGATCGTTCATAAACGATTTACTGAAAGACCAAATTTTGAAAAATGATCGTATTTACTGAACGAACGATTTTACTGAACGATCGTTCATCTAGAATGGAATAGATGAAAAATGAATGATAATTTTAAAAACTTTTGAGAAATTGTGAGAAATCATCTTTTTTTGGAACTATAGAAAAAAACGAAATGGGTCGTCAAAGAAAAATGCATGAATAAAAGTAAAAAAGCAGAACGCGCCCATCTCTTCTCATTTTCAATTGTTCGAACAAAATATCATGAGATTTTTTTTGCAGTATCTGTATATGCAAACCTACAAGAATTAAGACCCTCAGTCTGATGATAATTATATTTACTTAAGTGGTGCTCCTTGAACCTGACTAGTATGAATATGGCGCTGGATGGAGCCACAATCAACTTTATTCCCACATTCAACTTCGTGGATTACCATCAGGTACAAAGTGTATAAAACTGTACTGTGGGATCCATACAACTGGGGAACAGGAAGACGACCGTTAGACTCTTATTCTGAAACACGACAGTAGTGCAGTACACACAGACCAAACTCACTTGATAAGTTGATTTCTTACCAGATTTTAACAGAATCAAATAAAAAATAAGATCACTTAAATGTCGTCTTCCTATTCCACAGTCCTACTGTAATATTCTCAGGCAAACAACCCTGGGTCCGTAGCATTCCCTTACCTGGATCTACTCTGGGAGAAAGCCTTGTTGTGTGGTGGATCCAACCCTGTTTCACAAATACAAGAAAACTGCAGGTCTCAGACAGGCACAATCAAGGTTGTTTTTAAGGTGCGCTCCAGTGTACGAGTAAATGTCGTCTCCTAATTAATATGGATAGTGAAATCCGTGCATAACATTACTAATACCTACACTTGACTCTTAACTCAGTAAAGTCATTTACAGATTTCTCTGTCCATTACTTAGGAGACGAAATTGTCCGTACATTAGAACGCAACAAGAGTAAGAACCTTAATGAACAACCTTGTCCCCAACAAACATGAAAATTGATGAACGATTAAAATATCGTCTTTGACTTTAAATTTTTACTTGGGATCAACATGATTTGATAAGTCGTTCTCAATAATCATGCAGATATGAAAAAAATGAATAAATGAATAAATAAATAAATGAATAAATGAATAAATGAATAAATGAATAAATAAATAAATGAATAAATGAATAAATGAATAAATGAATAAATAAATAAATGAATAAATGAATAAATGAATAAATGAATAAATAAATAAATGAATAAATGAATAAATGAATAAATGAATAAATAAATAAATGAATAAATGAATAAATGAATAAATGAATAAATGAATAAATGAATAAATGAATAAATGAATAAATGAATAAATGAATAAATGAATAAATGAATAAATGAATAAATGAATAAATGAATAAATGAATAAATGAATAAATGAATAAATGAATAAATGAATAAATGAATAAATGAATAAATGAATAAATGAATAAATGAATAAATGAATAAATGAATAAATGAATAAATGAATAAATGAATAAATGAATAAATGAATAAATGAATAAATGAATAANACGACATGATTCCTTCTACAGTCCTAGTGGGGTAGGTTTCTACGACATGATACCAACTACAGTCCTAGCGTGGTAGGTTTCTACGACATGTTACCAACTACAGTCCTAGTGGGGTAGGTTTCTGCGACATGATACCTACTACAGTCCTAGCGGGGTAGGTTTCTACGACATGATACCTACTACAGTCCTGGTGGGGTAGGTTTCTACGACATGATACCTACTACAGTCCTAGTGGGGTAGGTTTCTACTTCATTTTACCTACTACAGTCCCAGTGGGGTAGGTTTCTACTTCATTATACCTACTACAGTCCTAGTGGGGTAGGTTTCTGTGACATGATACCAACTACAGTCCTAGCGGGGTAGGTTTCTATGACATTCATTATACCTACCACAGTCCTAGTGGGGTAGGTTTCTACTTTATTATACCTACTACAGTCCTAGTGGGGTAGGTTTCTACTTCATTATACCTACCACAGTCCTGGTGGGGTAGGTTTCTACTTCATTATACCTATTACAGTCCCAGTTGGGGTAGGTTTCTAATTCATTAAACCTACTACAGTCCTAGTGGGGTAGGTTTTTACTTCATTAAACCTACTACAGTCCCAGTGAGGTAGGTTTCTACTTCATTATACCTACTACAGTCACAGTGGGGTAGGTTTCTACTTCATTTTACCTACTACAGTCCCAGTGGGGTAGGTTTCTACTTCATTATACCTACTACGGTCCTAGTGGGGTAGGTTTCTACTCCATTTTACCTACTANTAGTGGGGTAGGTTTCTACGGCATGATACCAACTACAGTCCTAGTGGGGTAGGTTTCTACGGCATGATACCAACTACAGTCCTAGTGGGGTAGGTTTCTACGGCATGATACCAACTACAGTCCTAGTGGGGTAGGTTTCTACGGCATGATACCAACTACAGTCCTAGTGGGGTAGGTTTCTACGGCATGATACCAACTACAGTCCTAGTGGGGTAGGTTTCTACGGCATGATACCAACTACAGTCCTAGTGGGGTAGGTTTCTACGGCATGATACCAACTACAGTCCTAGTGGGGTAGGTTTCTACGGCATGATACCAACTACAGTCCTAGTGGGGTAGGTTTCTACGGCATGATACCAACTACAGTCCTAGTGGGGTAGGTTTCTACGGCATGATACCAACTACAGTCCTAGTGGGGTAGGTTTCTACGGCATGATACCAACTACAGTCCTAGTGGGGTAGGTTTCTACGGCATGATACCAACTACAGTCCTAGTGGGGTAGGTTTCTACGGCATGATACCTACTACAGTCCTAGCGGGGTAGGTTTCTACGGCATGATACCAACTACAGTCCTAGCGGGGTAGGTTTTTACCAGAGTTGAGAGAGTACTGTTACAGAGTTTTATAAAAGGCTAGAATATGCGATATTTTCCGGAGCAGGTTCTATTGTGTACATACTGTACACAGCAGGTTCTATTGTGTACATACTGTACAACATTATTTACATTTTCTTTCAATCTGTTCATAAGTTTTTACTTTTAGGAGTATGTATCTCTCCAGAGTTTGTTAAGGGGTCATTGTAAATTAATCTGTTAAACTGTTTAAGTATTTGTGGATTCTGGGAGGACGGGCTGGTTCCGAGATTCTACAAGATACTGAGATACTTCGTATTCCGCATGCAAGGTATTCTTATAGTTTTAAACAGATAGTACAGACAGAGACAGTTAAATTTATGCAGCATTACTTTTGTTTTCTTCTCTAAAGTCAAATGGTGGAAATGTAGTACAGTTTAACATATTTATAAAAAGACTAGGCTTGAAGGGCGCTTTGCGCCCATCTTCTATTTCAATGTTAAATATGTTCTCTTTGTGTACATTGTAAAATAAAATCAAACAAAACTTTTTAAAAACAAATTTCGTGGATTTTCTAGATTTTCAAAAGTTGAATTTTTGAAAATTCGATCATCCATAAACCTTCTCGAAGGTCGAATAGTGATGGGCCTTTTATTACTTTTTCTGCAGGGACAAAAATGCGAGAACTTTCACCAATTTGAAAATTGTTTTTTTTCTGAACTTTTGTTTTCCTGTCACTATGTCAACAAATTTCACCTGAACTAATATTTATGCGAAAAACGAAACAAAAAGTTAGTTTTAGTCTTAAATAGGTTCTTTCAGAATAATTTTTTGCTTAGTTTTAGTCAGGTAAACTGTCACAGAATAAAGTTCTGAAATGTTGGAAACTTTGTAAGTTTACAGTTTTAGTTTACAGTTTTAAAAGGTAAACTGTCACAGAATAAAGTTCTGAAATGTTGGAAACGTTGCAAGTTTACAGGTATAGTGTGATGCAATGCAATTTAAAAGTCAAAATACCTTAGAACCCAATTATTACCCATCACTATTTGTGGATTTGAAATTCTGAGTAAAAGATGCTCCAAACCTCACAGAGTAAAAAAGTAAATGTTAGTTTCACATTTTTGAAAATATATTTTGGTCTGGGTTGACCCTCTTTAGTTCTTACGATATAATTAACTATCGAAATCAATATTGAAAAATGTTTAAAAATTTAAAGAAAATAAACAAAAACTTGAAAAAGCAAGAAAATTGGGGTTTAAATGAAAAAAGGGAGAAACAATCTCAGATTATGATGTGGAAAATAGATAATTTATAAATCTTCACTTACAAATGGTTAAAGACAATTATTATATTCCTTAAGATTTGTTTCTGTCCTGAAGATTAAAAAAATGAAACATAATCACAAACAACTTATTTCTATTCCTGTAGCTTGTTATAAGATTCCAGGAAAAACAGTTCACAGTTTACAGTTTACAGTTTACAGTTTACAGTTTACAGTTTACAGTTTACAGTTTACAGTTTACAGTTTGCAAATTTGGAATTTATACACTTTCCAAGAACAATCACGCGCGCTCTCTTTAACAGTGAAAATATTGTTGTCCAGTAAATTTGATTTACCTAACGGCAGGGTTGTTAATCGTTTTTAAAACGACCAAAAAAAGGATTGTTTTCCGTTTTGTTTTTATTTCTTTCTAAAAACGAACGTTTCGTTTCTAGAAAAAACGAACCACTCGTTTTGAACTGTCAATAAACGAATAACGATCATTTTTTTAAAAGATAGCTATTTTGTACGAAAAACCATCGTTTTTTTAAAAACGATTTTTTTCGCAAATGAATCTGAGTTATTAAAATTATTTTTTAACGTTATCAAAAAACTATCGATTTCAAAAACGACCGTTTTAAAAAAAGACCCTTCGTTTACGACCGTTAACGAAGACTCTTTGTTTACGACCGTTAACGAAGACCCTTAGTTAACGACCTTTTAAAGAGAAAATACATTTTTGGTCGGAAAATCCGAGGTCAGAAAACATTCAGGTTATTTGTCTCGATAAAAACAACACTTAGGACAATATTCATAACCTTATCTTCAAAAAAAAAATTTAAAAATTTAACTGTCAAAAAACTCAAATTCATAAGCGAAATTTTTTAAAAACGATCGTTATTAAAAAAATATTGTTTTTAAAAAACTGTTGTTTTGTAAAAAATTATTGTTTTAAAAAACTATCGTATTCAAACACTGTATTTTCTCGTTTTAAAAAAAAATATCGTTTTCAAAAACAAATTTAGTTTAAATTGCACCCTGCGACCGACGGGTTTCCCGACGCTCTAGATCCCTTGTGAAGTGATCCGGCACATTTTGATCGTTTTTCGTTTTTTGAAAGTTCAAAATCGATCGTTTTTAGAAAAAAAAGCGAAACGAAAATCGTTCGTTATTTCGATCGCTTTTAAAAACGATTAAAAAACCCTTCCTGTAGGCTGTAGACTGTAGAGGGCTGGGGCTACCCTACCAAAATCTATAAAACCTGTTTGTTCAGGACTCCTGGACTAGATTATTCTAAAGGCTGGGATTGGATTAACAACAGAGCTAAGGATATTGCCAAATGGGACGCTATACCAGGTCACAATATATAGATATTAATTTACTTAAAGGAGTATGCCTGATTGACTATGGTATATAAAAAAATTGTCATTCCATGATGGAGATATTCTTGTTTTTTCATTTTAAATTTGATAATTGTCAAGTTAGGTTTCTTTTCAAAAGGGTGACGTGCGGATTTGCTCCAACACAAACCCTAAAGGGACTAAAAGCCTAATTTCAAGTGACCCTTAATAAAAAGATGGCATTGACCAGCTCACAACTGTAACATTTAAAGCGTTGTCTGATAAAGTATAAATTAGATATTTATGTTTAAAAAATATTTATTTCCGGCCTTTTGGTTTCTTTGGCATTTCTTTGGCATTTTGGATTTGCGCATTTCTAACCTGCAGGAAAACCTCTGATATCTGAACCAACTTTATAATTTATATGTTGGACAAATCAATCTAATAAAACAAGACATTCGTATATATATATGTTGCATCTAGCCGGCCAAACACCTGGACCGATTGGGCTGAAATTTTTTCTGGACATTCATGGGTGGCTGGGGGGTGTTAAAGGCTAAAAAATTCAATTTTATTTCCACGGGCAGCGCCGGGCCCTTCGGCTAGTAAATCCTAATTTTGATAAGATACATCTGATTTATGCAGGAATCCTGAAACATTTTAAATCCCACATATTCTTGATTAAACTGGTTTACAGTTTATATCTTGAAAACAACAATATTTTCCCCATCATTAGATAACGGTTCCAGGCCCAGGGGGAACATTGTGAATCGGACATTGCCATCTTTGAATGTAGGGTCACTTTAAAATACAGTTACAGTGCTTTTTGTAAAAGAAAATTTAAAAAAATTGTCAATGGATGCTTTTTTTCAGCTGCTCAGCAATACCTGCCGATGCCGCTGGCTGGTCATTGTGTGCTGGATGTTAAACTGGGCACTGATAGGTTTGCGATGGGTAAGTTAGAAGCTAGAAATTAAAAGTAATAAATTCTTTATTAATGCCGAAAAATCATGAAATATAGAATTTTTATAAACCATATTTGAGAAAACAAAACTTACTCATCTGTATTTGAACCTCTTACTGAAAACGCTTTTGAAGATTCTGAGTGTTATTTCTAAACCAAAAATATATTTTTTTAGTTTTGGGCGGAGTTACTTCAGAGAAGAATTCTGATGGGGAGTATAAACCTAAGTCAGGTAATCAGAGAAGATAAGTTATTATTGGTTCAACTTGCATGACTTAATAGTTATACATTAAGAACAACCAAAAACTCTGGAAAAGGAAAAAACGACTTTCAGACTTAAGTTTTGACTTTAAATACAGGGTGTCCCACGAAACATGACAGTTGGTGAATAGTTTTGAATATCTTCTTCCATACACTGTATTGGAAATTTAAGGCGCTTTGCAGTTTATCTCCTTTAACAAATCTTTTGCTCAAATATATTTTACTTTTAATTTTATTATAATATTTTTATTATTGTCTTTGTTTTTAAACAATTTATAAAATTATGGAAAAAGACATTTTAAACTTTTCACCAACTGTCATGTTTCTTGAGACACGCTGTAGTTTAAATAGTTTTAAAAATGTTACTTGTAAACCTGTTTGCTTTGTTTCAAATCAGATACACTTAACTATTGCTTAAATGTCGTCTTCCTATTCCTCAGTTTTCTGGTCTCACTATAAATATTATAAACATAAAAGAAAACATTGATGTCCCGATCCTTTATTAAAAGTAATGAATACTACCAAGTGATAACTAAGTTTTAAATAGTTTTATTGAATATTCACGGGCAAAAATATCTCAAGAACTAAAGAGGGTCAACCCAGATCCAAATATGTTTGCAAAAAATGTAAAAATTAAATCGGTTTTATTTACTTTTTTGTGGCTTCAACAAAAATACCAGATTTTAAATTGATACAGGGAGAGTCCTGTAATCTGCGTTGAACATGAGAGTTGAGAGTAGTTTAGGGATAACCAGAAAACTCTGAAAAAGAAAGACGATTCAAGTGTATTTTGATGTTTTCCCAAGATCTTATTTTTTCCAGTCCCTTATTAAATCTGTAGTCAAGTGAAATGGGTTTGTTTGCACTGCGCACTTGCCGAGTCCCATGCTCGTTGGACAATTTAAAGTCATAAATTTAGTCTAAAAGTCGTCTTCCCATTTCAGAGTTTGCTGGTTATTACCGTATGGCAACTTTTTTGTTTGTGTTTTACAGTTAATATTGCCTGAGAATATTAATATTTCTGTAACTTTATAAAAATCCAAAAAGAAAGGTCATATAATACAAAGTAATCATATCCTAATTTTTTTGGCAAATCTTGAAACCAATTCATAATTATCATTTATTAATTGCTTCCCCTTCTTTCAGTAAAATACAATCAGAGCAAAATACTATCTTCTTATGATTAATGCATATGGCTTTCTTCTTATTTCACTTTTATTTTGTGACGGAGCTTTGAATTTGAAGAAATGATTAAAACTGTATTAACTTGAAGGTCCAGTTATATCAAGCCATGTTCATTTATACGATTTTCAGGTGAGTTCGTACTTTAGATTATTGTGTAAGATCGTCGTCTCTTATCCCAAATTTAATTCGGATTTTAACACTGCTTCTATCTGTTGTTTTTATATGGAGAAAAAAGATTAAAACGCCTTTAATATATGTACTCAGGGATGTTTTGTTTTCAAAACAACGACATCGATATACATGTTTTATTTGTAGTTATTATAGACTTGAAAAATGACTTAAAGTAAAGGCCAAGATTTCATGCTCATTGGACGTTTTAAAATCATAACTTGAGTCTAACGGTCGTCGTCCATTTCTACAACGTGTTATAGTCTCATTGTGAAAGTAAACACAGATTTGAGGTAAAACTTTAAAATGGAGATTGTCCAGCTGTTAAACTAGTGGCGACAATGACATTGAATTTAGATGTGTTTATTGCTCTAGTTGAACCAGTGGTTTAGTTTTCTGTATATTTATTGCTCTAGTTGAACCAGTGGTTTAGTTCTCTATATATTTATTGCTCTAGTTGAACCAGTGGTTTAGTTCTCTGTATATTTATTGGTCTAGTTGAACCAGTCGTTTAGTTCTCTATATATTAATTACTCTAGTTGAACCAGTGGTTTAGTTCTGTTTATATTTATTGCTCTAGTTGAACCAGTGGTTTAGTTCT